CCCTCGGCACATAGACTATTGCAGCATAGATACAGGAGACAGACAGGGGGATCGGGGGACACTGTGGCCCTGTCCAAAGTTACTCCCGGACAGGGGAAACCAGGCAGGATATAACCCTACCCACTTTGGCAAAGCACAAACCCCACACCACTAAAGGGACATCAACGGGCCACTAACTTACTACCCTGAGACAAGGCCGAGTATAGCCCACAAAGATCACCCTACCGCACAAGCTCGAGGACCGGAAGGATGGAAGAGTGTGAGCAAGCCAGTGACTCAGCCCCCGTAATAGGGTCAGAGGCACATAATCCCAGTGGAGATAGGGGAGCCGGCCAGGCAGAGATGGCAACGGTGGTTTGTCACTCCAGTACCTTGCCGTTCGCACCCTTGGGGCAGACTACACTCCATCATAGAACCTACTGAAGAGATGAATCGTCAGTTCTTAAAGGTTGAGACCAAGTCTGCATCTCTCACATGGATCGGCAGACCATTCCATAAAAATGAAGCTCTATAGGAGAAAGCCCTGCCTCCAGCTGTTTGCTTAGACATTCTATGAACAATAAGCAGGTTGCATAACATTAAAGGTGATAAGGACGAATATATTAAACCAATATATCTCAAATAAGGAAAATTATTACTTAACTAAAATATACATGGAAATGGGAATCGTACTTTTAACACACTACTGGAAAGAAACTGAGGAATGGCTTGACAGGCACATTCACACCTTCAGTTTGTATTTAAATCCTATCAGGGCAGTCCTGAGAATTAGTGACAAGTGTGTGGCATTGAGAGAGAGAGAGTCAACAGGTGAAAATTAACTTGGTTGATTAAATTCATCTCAGTAGTATCAGAGAGGAAGAAGATCCAAAGTGCAGGCGTTTTTATATTGTTTCTCTCACCAAGCAAGGAATTTTTGTATGGAGGTCAAGGAGAGTGTAGAATTTGGTCAACAAAAAAATGAATGGCTTCAAATCAAGTTGTATTTGCTACATGCGCCGAATACAACAGGTGTAGACATTACAGTGAAATGCTTACTTACAAGCCCTTAATCAACAATGCAGTTTTTAAGAAAACATTTTTTAAAAGTGTTAAGTAAAAAAATAGAGCAGCAGTAAAATAAAATAACAGTAGGGAGGCTATATATACAGGGTGTACCGGTACAGAGTCAATGTGCGGGGGCACCGGTTAGTCGAGGTAATTGAGGTAATATGTACATGTGGGTAGAGTTAAAGTGACTATGCATAAATAATAAACAGAGTAGCAGCAGCGTAAAAGAGGGGGGTGGGGTGGGGGGGCAATGTAAATAGTCTGGGTAGCCATGATTAGCTGTTCAGGAGTCTTATGGCTTGGGGGTAGAAGCTGTTAAGAAGCCTTTTGGACCTAGACTTGGTGCTCCGGTACCGCTTGCCGTGCGGTATCAGAGAGAACAGTCTATGACTAGGGTGGCTGGAGTCTTTGATCATTTTTAGGGCCTTCCTCTGACACCGCCTGGTATAGAGGTCCTGGATGGCAGGAAGCTTGGCCCCAGTGATGTACTGGGCCGTACACACTACCCTCTGTAGTGACTTGCGGTCGGAGGCCGAGCAGTTGCCATACCAGGCGGTGATGCAACCAGTCAGGATGCTCTCGTTGGTGCATCTGTATAACTTTTTGAGGATCTGAGGACCCATGCTAAATCTTTTCAGTCTTCTGAGGGGGAATAGGCTTTGTGGTGCCCTCTTCACAACTGTCTTGGAGTGTTTGGACCATGATAGTTTGTTGGTGATGTGGACACCAAGGAACTTTAATCGCTCAACCTGTTCCACTACAGCCACGTCAATGAGAATGGGGCCGTGCTCAGTCCTCTTTTCTTTCCTGTAGTCCACAATCATCTCCTTTGTCTTGATCACGTTGAGGGAGAGGTTGTTATCCTGGCACCACACGGCCAGGATAACAATGGCTCATTTGCTACGTGAGGCTTATTTGATCAAATAGAAGTTTCGTAATGCTTAGGTTGTTACGAGTGTGCTGATATAGGTAGGACACATGACATCCTAGCAACTTTGAGAAATACCACTTTATATCAGAGTTGTGCCTGTTGTTCATGCGCGTATCTGCCCTCTCATTGGCTAGAATGGTCACACCTGATCTTGCCTCCTGCCGACTGCCTTACATTTTTGAAGACATTTATTTTCATTGTTAGAGCAGCCACTTGAGTATCTGGTCAATATAATGGATAATCTGTGGCAGTAAGCTGCTCCACAGAGGGCTTTTGTACAGCTGCCAACCAACTGCATGGGGCCGTATTGGACATGATTCACATGGCCATATCTTCATAAATAATTGGTACATACAGCCCAATAATGGCTTAAAATGTTTGAGGGGGTCTGGTAAACACAATGGCCCAAAGATGCCATATATATGTATCCTTTCAAATGTTAATAGAAAATGTGTGCCACTTTACAGTTTACAGCAGAGACAGGTAAACCATTATGATGAGACCTTTCAGTGTTTACACAAAGTGAGTCAACTACTACATACACATGTCTAGCTACAGTGCCATTGCAGATTTCATAACCTATTATACTCTAAAATACCAGTTTTCCAAAATGACCGCCAACCAGCTACATTGGTTCTAATTGGACAGGATTCACATGGCCATATCTCCAGGTACATACAGCTCAACGATGGCTTAAAATGTTTGAGGTGGTGTGGAGAACACAATAAAATGACCCAAGGATGCCTTATTTATGTGCCTTTTAAACCTTATGCAGAAATGTGGTGGAAATGTCCCCTAAAATTACTGTTCTGTAATTATAATTGTCCATAACTTTATTAGTAAGTGGTATAGTACGCCTAATGATTGCTTAAAATGTTCAAGGTAGCATGGAAAATACAATCAAATGGATCATGTATATGGTTAAAAAATATATATGTTTTTGAAAATAGAACCAACATTTTTCAAATTTCGTCATGCTCCTAATTATTTCAAAAATATTGTGTGGTATTAGAATGATATATAACATGTACCAAAACAGTGCTTGCATAATAAGTAATAGTAGTCTTTACATCCCATTAAAAAAGGTAGACTTCTATTGGAATGGCTTCCATTTTCAGGTAGTACAGGGAAGTAAATACAGGGAAGGTTTCTTGACACATTTCTTGAAATGGACAAAATACAGAATATCATAGTTTACATCATTGTAATTAGTAGACTTTAGGGAACACCCATTTTACAGTTTTAAGTGTTTTTAAATGTAAAATACTGAAAATGAGGATGAAAGTATGTTCAAGAATCAGTAATTTAGGTAGGTTTTGGTGAAAAATACTTAATGGGTACATATACACTATATGGCATACTTGGACCATTTTATTGTGTTTTCCAGACCCACTCAAACATTTTAAGCCACCATTGGGCTGTATGTACCAATTAATTATGGAGATATGACCATGTGAATCCTGTCCAATATGGAGCTGGTTGGTGGTCATTTTGGAAAACTGAGTATAATCAGGGGTGTAGTGCTGCTGTAGCGACTAATCGATGTCTCGCAAGATCACTTAATTAATGATTAATTAGTATTCTGCATAACAGCCTGAATACAATAACATACTATAAAGTTACTGTTAGACCAAAAAACCCACGTAATTTCTTATGAGATTTAAGGATGATTGTGCTGAATGATCACTTTTTTTCTCATGATGCGACCAAAACTAAACAGCGCGCCATAGGATAAATGTGCTCTGATGAAAACAGTACAGGTAGGCTAGTCTGTAGCTTGTTAATATCATCTGCTCTGAAATCCACCCAAATACTATTTACTCACATCAAGAAGATCTAAATGGATATTCGCATGAAACAGAGTGAGATCAAATGGTTATGGTTGGCATTCAGATGCAGCTTGTACATTTCACCCGTCAATTGAGAAGAAGAAGAATTCATGATTGAGAGTGATGGCCTATTTTGAAATGAGGTAGGCATAATTTGCTGTTTGAGAGTATTAAAAATACAAACATTTATTGAAGTCAATGTGTGTAGGCATAGGATGACGTTGTGTTTGGATGGCCTCCTGTAGCTCAGTTGGTAGAGCATGGGGCTTGCAACGCCAGGGTTGTGGGTTCGAATCCCACGGGGGGCCAGTATGAAAAAACGTCTGCTAAATTACTAAAATGTCAAATGTAAAATGATGGTGTGTTTTATGCATATAAATGGATATTATTTAACAGGCTATGGTGCAAATGTTGATTGAGAAATTACTATGTAATTTTTTTGGGGGGCCTCCGGCACCTCTAAATATATCACTACACCACTGAGTATAATAGGTTAAATCTGCAATGGCAAAATAGCTAGACGTCTTTGTGTAGACTTTTACTCACTTTGTGTAAAAACTGAAAGGTCTCATCATAATGGGTTACCTGTCTCTCTGCTGGACATAATGCATTCCTATGGGGTTTTACCTAAAGTGACGTGTACAGGGCAGGTTTCCTGTCATTTTTCTTTTTAAAATTGACACAAAACAGAATGTCATATTATATATCATTGCAGTCAGTAGACTTCAGGGAACACCCATATTACTTTTTAGAGTGTTTACATGTAAAACTATTGGAACTAGTCATGAAAACATTCATTTGGCACACTTTTTCACCACTTTTCTGCTACAAGTTTAAAGGATAAGTATATATGGCGTTTGTGGGCCAATTTGTTTTCCAGACCCCCTCAAACATTTTAAGTTATCATTGGGCTGTAAGTACCACTTATTTATGGCGATATGGCCAAGTGAATCCTGTCCAATATGGCCCCATGCAGCTGGTTGGTGGTCATATGGGAAATGGTAGCCAGGGGGGTAGTGGACCAAATCTGTGATGGCACTATAGCCAAGAATACTTCTTTAGACATGCCCCAGCTGTGTGAAATTTTGTGGCTCTATCAAAAAGTCCAAAATGTTTTCCCGTAGTCATTGGACTATGGTCAAAATGACCTCAATATGACCCCCTTGAAGGTCTTAAGAGTATTTTGTCGTCTATATTATCTGTGGGGTTTATTTAGTGGGTAGATAACGTTACAAAGTCATTTTGATATTGTTTGGAATGATTTTACCCTATTTTCTTCTAACAGGAAATCCGAATGGTTGACTTACATGCTTCCCAGACTGCATCCAATCTTCAAAAATGTTCCTTAAGGTATCTAGTATTAGTGTACTATGTTTGATACTTGTATCATAAAGTGGAACGATCTTGGGTATATATGGTTCTTATCCGCTGGACTCTAACTGCTCTGTACAGAAACAATCTCTTCACAAATAACACAAAAGTAAACAATTTACTGTATTATTTATTATAGCCATAACTGACTGCTGCTTTTTAAATTAAACATGGATTTCCAGAAGGGCTTGATGGAAAAGGTATCATGGGCATGGTCAGCTTTGAAAAGCAGCTCTATGAATATACTCATGGGCTACTCTGTATGGATTCATACTGAAATGTGTAATTAACGGCTTTCATGCCCTCGTCTTCATCAACGACCAGATACGACTATGGGGATTGGTGGGATGAGCAGGATGTGCACATCCATCACATTGGTCCCCGTTAACCCTGGTAGGAGCAGCCGCTGCCCATCAGACAGGCGTGAAAAGAAGGTGAAGGAATCATTGTTGACGAGGAAGACATCAGTGTCCAGCCCCTGTGCTCGTGCTTCTTCTCCAAGCCCTGCGTCTGTTACTGCCCCTGCTGCCACAGTTGGCCCGTCCTGACCATCGGTCCCACCACTCAGGAACAGGGGACCCTTCGGAGGGAGCTCCATGCCTCCCAGCTCAAGCCCTACTCGCAGGGCCAGCTCCTGGTTCCGCCCACCACGCCCCTTGCCTGTCAACTGCACAGTGGGCTCTCCCCCAGCCAGCAGACAGGTGGCTCCCCAGCCCTCCCCACGTCCCTCACCAAGCACTTGCATTGCACGGCACAAGTCCCAGCTTTCCACGCCTGTCTCTGGCCCCAGCTTCAGAATCTCAGCAGGCAACTCAGGAGGGGGCTCATCACGGGAGCAGGCAAAGCGAGCAAGTAGACCATAAAGGCGGGCGACAGACTGTACGTCTCCACACACCCCTGGCGACAGCACAACTGGACGGAATCCGAGCTCCCGTGCACGTCTCCCTGCACATTCCAGAGCAATGCTATTGGAGCCAATCACAGCATTGAGAACATGTGCCGCCCTGTCTGACTGCTCTCCAGCCTCCTCCCATCGTGGAGCTGAGCGTCCAAGGACCTCTTTCACTGAGACAGGGAGAGAGGAGGACAGCCCGTAACGTTCTAGGACCGACCAAATCTCCTCAGGCCACACCTCAGTCCACACTGTGGGGCCACTGGCTATCAAGTCCAGGGGATCTCCGATTACATCAGACAGAACCAGGGCCACCACCTGTTAGAAAATGTAAACAGGAACATTTTATTTTACCAAATACGACCAGAATGTAAAGCTAATGTGCAAGAAGTTCAGGTCTTTGGGTGAAAACTCTATAATGAGCTAGTACAGTTGTGTTCTTACCTGAGCAGGGTGAGCACAGTGTGCAAGTCCTCCTCCTTTCAATAACGACAGGGCACGGCGTACAGAGTTAAGCTCCTGAATGGTGGCACCAGCACCAGCCAGTCTGCGTGTAACATCCTGTTTCTCCTGAAGAGAGATTGGTGGGACTGGTGCAGGCAAGAGTGCAGATCCTCCTCCTATACACACACCGAATAAGTATGTAAATATTTACGGACAACCTAGTTTGATTGACATAATTACATGATTTAGTAGTTAGGTATCAGTTTACCTGAGATGAGTACAAGCAACAGGTCATTCTCTGTCAGTGTGCTGGCCAGCTCCTTGATACAGTCAGCTGCCCTCTGGGCATCAGCATCTGGCAGGTTGTGTTTAGCGCCCTCCATTACTGTGATGTGACTTCCATCCTTCAACAACATCTGGCTGAGGAGAAATTGAGCAATTAATTTACCAACCCACCAACCAACCCGATCCCACCCACAAACAATTTGGTTCTAGTTGCTTACTCTTTTCCATGCTGCCGTAGTGTCTCCTGAATGCCGTGTGGCACACTGATCACTCCTCTCACCAAGTGGTCCCCCACAATCCTCTCTGCCTCGGCAGCCATGCCCAGCACAGCTTTGCCAAAGCCTACCAGGTGAAGGTTGTTTTTTAGCGTGAAGCTGTGTCCATTCACTAGGAGGGCGTCTCCTGTACGCTCCAGACCCTGCCGCACCACAATGTCTGGTTGCACAGCTTCGATAGCTGTAGAAAACACCTCCCGTGCTCGCATGTCCAGTGACATTCTGCAAACTGTGGCTCGCCTCACCCCCACAGGGGCCAGTAAAGATAAAGGCCGGAACAGGGACACAACACGAGCCATCAGGCTGTCCTTACAGGGAGCACCTGGGGCAAGGAGAAAGGCCATGTTTATGGATCACAGGATGTCCTGTCAATTACGACCACCCCCTTTGACGTTTCTGCTGTTCTGATTTTACTGGTTATTTACCAAAAGGGACACACCCAAGATAATCCAGATAGAAAGGGGCCTACTAGTTGACCTTCTGTCACTTGCCTTGAGATGCCCACACAACACATCGGATAAACCCATAGTCTTTCTGCATTTAGTTGACAAGTCATTATGACTGAATCCTACAGAGGTTGCCTACCTGTACACAGGGTATGGGGAACCTCTGGATTTCCTCCGTGCTCCGTGTGAGAGCTGTGTACTTGCAGAGTCAGGATCAGCGCTAAGGCAGTGTGGCAAAATCTGGACAGAGCTCAACTCAAGTTGAATGTGTACCTTCTGTGTAATGATTGACTCAAGCTTGACCATAGGGCAGGAAAAGTGAGCAGTCTGCGTGTTTGTGTTTTCAGATGTACAATCAGCTACTACCCAGGGTCAAAACACACAGTAATATTCAATTTGAGCGAATAGGTATAAAACATATTGACTGGAATGAGGACAGATCCACCTTGTGGCAGGGTGGATGGATGAGTGCTGAATATTCAAACCTCTCTCACTCACATACAGCTAAATTCAAACCTCTCTCACTCACATACATTCCATGCAGTTTGGCTTCAGAGCGAAACACTCCACAGAAATGGCCAACTGCTTTTTTCTGGAAAATGTGAAGTCCAAGATGGACAAAGGGGGCGTTGTTGGGGCTGTGTTTCTGGACCTAAGGAAGGCTTTTGATACTGTTAACCATGAGATTCTCATCACAAAATTGTCCAAGTTCAACTTTTCCCCCGATGCCTTGAGATGGATGAAATCATACCTTGAAGGCAGAACTCAGTGTGTCAGAGTGAGCAATGAGCTATCGCCCACTCTTAGCTATGATGTGGGTGTGCCCCAAGGGTCAATACTGGGGCCCCTCCTGTTCAGCCTGTACATTAATGATCTGCCTTCTGTCTGTACTGGGTCTGAAGTTCAAATGTATGCAGATGATACAGTGATATATGTGCATGCAAAGAGCAAACAACAAGCTGCACAAGAACTCACTACTGTAATGGTCCAGGTTACAAAGTGGCTCAGTGACTCGTGTTTGCATCTCAATGTGAAAAAAAACTGTTTGCATGTTCTTCACAAAGAGGGCAACAGATGCTACTGAGCCAGAAGTCTATGTGTCAGGGGAGAAGCTCCAGGGGGTATCTGATTTTAAGTACCTTGGCATCATACTTGATTCCAACCTCTCTTTTAAAAAGCATGTGAAAAAGGTAATTCAAATAACCAAATTCAACCTAGCTAATTTCCGATTTATACGAAATTGTTTGACTACAGAGGTAGCAAAACTGTACTTCAAATCTATGATACTCCCCCACTTAACATACTGCTTGACTAGTTGGGCCCAAGCTTGCTGTACAACAGTAAGACCTATTCAGTCTGTCTACAAACAGGCTCTCAAAGTGCTTGATAGGAAGCCCAATAGCCATCATCACTGTCACATCCTTAGAAAGCATGAGCTCCTGAGTTGGGAAAATCTTGTGCAATACACCGATGCATGTCTTGTATTCAAGATCCTAAATGGCTTGGCTCCCCCTCCACTCAGTATTTTTGTTAAACAGAAAACCCAAACATATGGCAGCAGATCCACAAGGTCTGCCATGAGAGGTGACTGTGTAGTTCCCCTAAGGAAAAGCACCTTTAGTAAATCTGCTTTTTCTGTGAGAGCTTCCCATGTCTGGAATACACTGCCATCAGACACACACAACTGCACCACATATCACACTTTCACAAAATGCTTGAAGACATGGCTAAAGGTCAATCAGATTTGTGAACATGGTCCCTAGCTGTGTGTTGCCGCTTTCCATGTCTGTTGTCTGTAACTTGTGAGGTGTGGAAACATTTTGTTGCTTTTATGAATTTTGTCTTGCTGCTTTTTGTTCTATGTTGCTCGGTCTGTATGCTACGTCTTGCTTGTCCTATGTTGCTATGTCTGTATGCTATGTCTTGTTCTATGTTGTTATTGTCCATATTGTAATTGTTTTTAATAACCTGCCCAGGGACTGCGGTTGAAAATTAGCCGGCTGGCTAAAACCGGCACTTTTACTGAAACGTTGATTAATGTGCACTGTCCCTGTAAAAATAAACTCAAACTCAAACTCAAATGCCAAAATAAAGGAAACCCCAACATAACGTTTCTTAATAGGGTGTTGGGCCACCACGAGCTGCCAGAACAGCTTCAAGGTGCCTTGGCATAGATTCTACAAGTGTCTAGAACTATTGGAGGGATGCGACACCATTCTTCCATGAGAAATTCCATAATTTGGTGTTTTGTTGATGGTGGTGGAAAACGCTGTCTTGGCGCCGCTCCAGAATCTCCCATAAGTGTTCAATTGGGTTGAGATCTGGTGACTTGAGACACACACCCACCCTCTAAACCCCATTTGTTCATTTGAGACCACTCTTTTAAAGTAAATGAGATCACTTCTTCAAGTTAAGTTTATTCAACCATGGAAACCAAAATAATGGGCAACTGGGCATTTTTATACATGGCCCTAAGCATGATGATGTTAATTGCTTAATGAACTCATGGGAGCCACACCTGTGTGGAAGCACCTGCTTTCAATATAGTTTGTATCCATCATTTACTCAAGTGTTTCATTTATTTTGGCAGTTACTTGTACATTGCTAACGTCAAGATTAGGAGCAGCCGCTGCCCACCAGACAGGCGTGAAAAGAAGGTGAAGGAATCATTGTTGACGAGGAAGACATCAGTGTCCAGCCCCTGTGCTCGTGCTCCAAGCCCTGCGGGTGTCTCCCGAGTGGCGCAGTGGTCTAAGGCACTGCATCGCAGTGCTAGCTGTGCCACTAGAGATCCTGGTTCGAATCCAGGCTCTGTCGTAGCCGGCCGCGACCGGGAGACCCATGGGGCGGCGCACAATTGGCCCAGCGTCGTCCAGGGTAGGGGAGGGAATGGCCGGCAGGGATGTAGCTCAGTTGGTAGAGCATGGTGTTTGCAATGCCAGGGTTGTAGGTTTGATTCCCACGGGGGGGCAGTATGTACTCACAAACTGTAAGTCGCTCTGGATAAGAGCGTCTGCTAAATGACGTAAATGTAAGATGGGAAGCACACTCATTTTTTCCATGTGCTCATCATCTGTCCTTGGGTAGGCTATAACCTGCAAGCTGGTAATGTGATGGAAAGGTAAATGTCTCTCTTTCTGAGTGACAACTACCACCACTAAAAAACAAAAAATGTATAGGTACTGATTGGATAGGTATTATGGTAATCACCCCACCCTGCCCTCTGATTGGATAGGTGGATTTTGCCCTGGGGTGTATTCATTACGCCGATTCGGTTGCAATTGTTTCATCTGTTGCAAAATGCTTCCCTGCTCTAAAGTGGAGTGAAGTCCCCGGGGTTCCTTCCAACTACTTTCAGACACTTATTTTTTTAAAGAGAGACATGGCTGAACTACAACTTCCGTTTAACAAAACAGAACTCAGCGTTTAGAGTAAGCGGTTGCAACAGACGAAACTTTTTGCAACAATTGGCGTAATGAATACACCCCAGGGCTAGGGGTCGATTTATAGAAACCAATGACTGCAAACTCACCTGCATTGCTACTTCGGTTGTTCTTTCTTGACAGTCAGAGCACGTGTTATTGTATGTCTGATAAGTAGTTACAATTATTGTAAACGTGCGGATTGAAAAAGGTTGCTCTGCTCCCTTTTTGTATGTATCCAAAAGCGTTATAAATGCGTCTTCCTTGTTTTTATTCTGTGCTCTGATGGTTGTGCGTAAAACATTAACTGACTGTACCGCGATAGTTGTTGAATGTATCGCGAGAGTTAATGCGCGTGTCTGTGGAACTTGTGGGTAGCGGATGTATCGAAGGCAGTGGTTTTACATGACTCGAATAAGAAGTATCCCAGGCGGGCTTTCTTTACAGTTTTTGAAACACAAAGTTATATTTTTACAAAGTAGTAAAGCTCCTATTTTAAAAAAGCACAGAAATAGATTATCATATAATAAATTCAAGTAGAAAACGAGGGTCTGCGCCCCCTCAAAGAGCCCATCATGAAGCTGACGGACAATGTGCTGCGGAGCTTCAGGGTTGCAAAGGTTTTCCGAGAAAATTCAGACAAAATCAACTGTTTTGATTTCAGTTCAAACGGCGAAACCATAATTTCTAGCAGCGACGATGACTCCCTGGTTTTATACGACTGCCAGGAGGGAAAGTAAGACATACATTCAATTAATATTAATCGACTGTTTTTTCCGCACTGCATGCTATTAGGGTAGGCCGACCCCCGCGCTGTAACTAGCATCTGCTCCGTTAGTAGTACTAGTGAGGCCTACTGCGGTATGCAAAATCCTCGGTCTCGAGTTAAGACACTAGCGGAGTTTGAGCGGATGCAGGTCTGGCTTGTTAGTTGGATAACAAAACTATAACTTGTATTTCAAATAATTTCCCACAAGGGTGTAGTTAGTGTATTGTGGAGGTAAAATAAATAACAATATATAACAATTGTATGTGCTAGTCTAGGTTAGCCCTATATGTGGCTGCTGTAACCGTCCTGATTATGATTACGTTGTTGAGAGTTCAGAGGCAGTTGGCTTTGCTAGAAGTTTCTGTGCCAGCAATCTAACATGGTTGCTTAATTTTTTTCCCCCATCCTGTGCTGGTCCAGACCCAAGCGGACCCTCTACAGTAAGAAGTATGGAGTGGATCTGATCAGGTACACACATGCAGCCAACACCGTGGTCTACAGCTCCAACAAAATTGATGGTATGTTAGTGCTTAAAGGCAAAGAGGCGATTTGTAATCAGTAGGCCTATACCTGCCAATAAGTAGTTGTCCATGTAACTCTTGCCTGGCACCTTTCAGATTGTTCATAGGGATTTCCTGACAGTCTGAATGCGTTAACCTCAGCCTGGGGCGGTCGACCATGCTCACTCTGGTCTGAGGTAGTTGTTTGTACAGTTTGAGGGTCCGTGATTCTGCCCGATACAGGAGCTAACTGTACAAGCCACTGCCTTGCCTAGGGTGGGGTCTACTCATCCGACCTGCCCAGTGCCCATCGCCTCCTGGATCGGAAGCTCTACTTGCTCTCTAGTTGTCTGATGCGGTGATGAATGGGAATGCCATGCTGTCTTCTGCCCATAACCCCATGCCTTTATGATAATTGCAGACACTATCCGGTACCTCTCCCTCCATGACAACAAGTACATCCGGTACTTCCCCGGACACAACAAAAGGTGAGGACTGAGTCAGAGAAACACAATTGGCTGAGGGGTAGTTTAGGCTACATTACTGTACTATTACTTGAGTATTGTCTCTCAAGGTAGATGTTTTTATACCTTTAACATTAATGTTTCAGAGTGACGGCTCTCTCCATGTCCCCTGTGGATGACACGTTTATCTCAGGATCTTTAGACAAGACAATTCGGCTATGGGACCTGCGGTCTCCAAACTGCCAGGTGGGTTCCCTTCACTCACTAGGTCTTGTTAAAGGTTGACTCAGCAAAATGATGCTGCCACGAGTAGCACTGCAGATATTGCGATGGACGAGATGCACAACTTTGCTTTCACACAGTCACACACAGTATCTGCACATGTGCATGGGTTCGCTTCACGCTTTAACAATGTGGTAGCCACGGGACCAAAACAGCGGACAATTTTAGCCTTGTGCTTCAACGCTCTTAGTTAATGCGGAAATGTACCCACTATGCTGTTTACTTTCTGCATCTACGTCATATTGCTGTCTACCTTTACTTCTCCTTGACATTGATGATCAATTGACTCTAGATCAGGGATGCACGCTTGCCACTTTCTGTGATATTTGCCTTTTTGATCTCAAAATAGGTAATCCATGTGAATCTTGTAGATCCGTAAAAAAAAATAATGGAGGGGGTGGGTTGACAGTGCACAGACACAGTGTATCACCCATTGAGCTATAAAAGAGGTGCAAACAAATCTTCTCCCTGGGAGAATCTCAATTGCATACTGCTCACGTCCTCTCTCCTCGCCTCCTTCTCAAAACCCATTGGAGGATAAGGTCAGATGGGCGGGACCTCTGGCTTTCTCTTCCAATGGATAGCAGTTTGGCATAGAATACTGACAACTGCGAATGCAAACAGAACAAAACAGCGGTACCAAGTAGGCCTAGTAAACAAAATATCCCATCGATAAAGGCATGACACCATCTATATTTAGGCTAGTTGCATTAATGTTAAACAAACGCTGTAAACAAAAGGTGAATGGAGATCCAGATAACCAAAACACAGCCTACTACAGTGAGATGCAGCCATGCACAGCTGTCTTGCCAAACAAATAGGCCTAAAGGCCTGCTTCAGACATGGAAAATCATGCCGCTCATGAGTACAGCAACACGTTATGATATGGCACAATACACTTCTGTGGATTAAATTTGACCCACGTAATCATTTAAGCAATGCCAGCCCACCATATACATGTTTCCAGAGTATTGAGATTAACAAATAAATAATACATATTTGAACATTCTCAGAAAATATGCAAATTATATGCACACACAAAAAAAGTCATCATTTTGGACCCTTGCCAGTTCGCGTCCCTGTTCTAGATGTGCCTTTGCTCTGTCTGTGACTGTCTCTGTCACTACCAGGGCCTGATGCACCTCCAGGGGAAGCCAGTTTGCTCCTTTGATCCTGAGGGTCTGATCTTTGCTGCTGGAGTGAACTCCGAGATGGTCAAACTGTATGACCTGCGATCCTTTGACAAGGTAACAGTAATTTTCAGGGCTGACTTTGGACTTTTCAGGAAAGGATGTAGGATGTGGTACAGATTGTAGTGTTTTCTCTGCTTTCTGTATTATAGTTGCATGTGTATTGAGAGCTGTGAATGCGGGTCAGGTGGTAGATGGTTGTCTTCAGATTAACTTTTCTTGTTTGGTTCTCTTTAGGGTCCTTTTGCTACCTTCAAGCTACAGTACGACCGTACGTGTGAGTGGACAGGACTCAAGTTCAGCAACGATGGGAAGCTCATCCTTGTCTCAACCAATGGGGGTGCTCTCCGCCTCCTCGATGCTTTCAAGGGAGCTGTGATGCATTCCTTTGGGGTGAGAGATCATACACATTCATGCAGACACTTAAAACCTAGACGGACACTGTTGAATACTCTTGATACTTAATGCAAAGACTCTTGAACTGACATACATTTCACAACGAGCAAGTTGCACAATAAGTGAAATGATAGGCCTATACTTATAGACACTCTACTTTATCCTACAGGGCTACAACAACAGCAAAGCTGTGACGCTGGAGGCCTCCTTCACTCCTGATTCTCAGTTTATTATGATCGGTAAGTCCACAGAGACTGGGAAGGTGAGGTAACAGGCTCTATGTTCTGTAAAGTAAGACAGGACAGTTCCAATTGTCTTCCCATTCTACCACAGAATAATTTGGTAGTAATAATTTGAAACTGCAAATTAAACCTAACCTGGAAACATTACACACTAAAACAGTAGTTCAGCTCCCTCTCATTTTCCCGTGGTCTGACGGGTGGTTGTCTCTCAGGCTCTGAGGATGGGAAGATCCACGTGTGGAATGCAGAGGGTGGGATGAAGGTGGCGGTTCTGGATGGGAAGCACACGGGTCCCGTCACCTGCCTTCAGTTCAACCCCAAATTCATGACTTTTTCTAGTGCCTGTTCAAACATGGTAAGATTAGTTGTGTTGAACACACATGCAATCTCACATACAGTACATGAATGCTCAGTAAGTATTTTGTCCTCTGCAGGCATTCTGGCTCCCCACTATTGATGATTGATTGAGAGAGAGAGATGCTATGGAGGCCACTGGCAACGTGAGATCCCATTTAAAACCAGCAGGTGTAGGCACATCCAGCTCTGTGTGTGTGGCCAATTCAAGTTGATTGTAAATATGTAGGACTTTTGTAACATTAAATGTTTTCATTTTCTAACAAGTGTTGGACTTCTATGTGTGAGTGTTGATATGTGTGTCTATTCCTAATCAGAGGTTGTTTACCTACACCCAGTCAGTGAACCACACAGCATCATTAGCACTAGCAGGCTAGTCTAGCCTATTCTGGGACAGCTGGGGTTAACATGCATTTAATGAAGATGGAAATATGTCATAAACATCTACTGAAAGCCCCTGAAGCAAGGCTACTAGGCCAGAGGTCCGATTCAACAAGTAAGCACGTGTCCACAGTTAAATTCAACCTTTCCAGTGGTGATAAAACCAAAATATTTACTTTAGACTGCATTACCACTGTCTTCTTGGAAAGGAGCATGTCTACCTCTGAACAAGGTCAATTGGCAGCAGTACTCTGAAACCTGCTGCTTGAAGTCACAGATGAGGAAATTAGTTAGTTGTTAGCTGCAACAAACTAGGAAGAGGTCCGTGATTGAAGCAGTCATGCAATTCTTGGAAAGAGAAATTACCATTTACAAGGAACACAAAAAGGCGCTTGGTTCTTAATTCTGGAATTGCATTAGGAGTAATGGTAGTCTGAGGCATTTCAGGGAATTCAAACATAGCGTTCTTGAAATAGATTTAACTGTGGGACAGTTTCTCAGAACATTGGATTAGGATGAAAATGTTCCAGTGTTGTGTTTATTACTGTGTCCCTAATTAGATTTTGACAACAATAGGTCACTACATCCAAGTTGTTATTTTCACAAAAATATCTATATTCTTCCTAATTTATAAAAACTAATTACTTCTATTCAAATCAAAAAAGTAGTCCATGAAGTACATGATCTAAATGTTCCTAAGAAAATATACTGTCATCAAAATCTGTCAGCCTACAGTAGGTCATATTACAACTACTTGACTTCTGTTTGATGCCAACACAAAAGAAACGGTCATTCAAAAACAAAATCCTTCCTGGCTCGTTCAAGAGATGTGCGTGTGCGAATTTGCTAGACTAGTAGAGGATGTCTAGTTAAATCCTAATAGCACGCACAATATGTCCAGAAAAAAAGTATGTCGTAAAGTTTACAATTATGGGGAAACAGAATCCAATTGATGAACAGGATTTCACTCAACACGTGGTCGTTTTGATCTGGATTAAACATATTTAAAAACTGTCCCCTGGACATACATTAGTAGCAAGTAAACTGGGATCGAATGCAGTTAATACTCATTGTGCAAGAAGCATGGGATTGTTGTTTGATCTGAATTCCTTTCGGTATCAGACAAACACGCACCAGGGAATGGCCTGCCACAGCTGAACTCAGCTAAACTGTTTATGTCACAGGGGCCATATTGATTTTTTTTTACCAAGGCCTTTGATCTAATTGACCCTCTCATTCTCTTAGATAAACTAAAATGCTTGGGTTTGCACAAAGACCTTGGAATTGGTTTTCTGGATAATAATAGAAATCAGTGTTACAAAAGAGGGTATTAAGTTCAATCAGCTGATGCTGCTAGGTTCAATACTTGGACCATTGTTATTCTTCATTGTTGGTAACTGTGCATTTACACAAATGTTCCCTTGTGACAGACCGTGTGCCATACACGTCCATTAAACACATGTCTTTGTCAATAGTCTTCAGTCCTCCATTTACTTATCTCCACCACTGAACAGTGTACCAAATTACAATCAAACACTGTTGAAAACAGTTTAACAGAAATGTGACTGGGTCAGAGGCTCAGGTGAGTGTGTTTATAAGGTTCTCCGGTCACTAATTAATCTCTCAAGCAGACCCTGGTGGGCTGGGGGTGGGGAGGAAGATACCCAAGGCTGGACAGTCAGTAGCAGCTACATTTGGGAGAGAGGGGATCAGGTTCCCTCTGAACACACATGATCCTGCCCGAGTTACCCGAGCTGTGTCCCCCTCTCATACTGTCACTCTCAGACCAGTGCTTAGTCACACAGGCTTTATCAGTGCAGTTATTGCTGCAGGTTACCCCATAGTGTCTCTTTTTTGGCTGGGCTGAATCTCCACCGTCTGCTCTGGGACTTGGCTTGGCTCTACCGTCCCTGTCTCTCAACCCCCTCCCCCAACCCCCTACAGCACACGGCAGGCGGAACAGACTTTGTGCTGAACCGACATGTTTCTAGTTACATTTACATTTCATTTCCATTTCAGTCATTTAGCAGACGCTCTTATCCAGAGCGACTTACAGTTAGTGAATACATATTTTTTTTTATACTGGCCCCCCGTGGGAATCGAACCCACAACCCTGGCGTTGCAAACGCCATGCTCTATCAACTGAGCTACATCCCTGCTGGCCATTCCCTCCCCTACCCTGGACGACGCTGGGCCAATTGTGCGCCGCCCATGAGTCTCCCGGTCACGGCCGGCTGCGACAGAGCCTGGATTCGAACCAGGATCTCATCGTGACGCCGGAACTAAGAGAGTTCTTGGACAGGGCAAGGGATGGAGCTGTTCGCCTCATCCAGGTGCGGATCCAGGACAGTGAGTGACCCAGGGGACAGCGGTGGAGGGATCTAGGACGGGAGGGGTCTTGGTAAGGCAGCGCGACATAAGATTTATATTAATTTGATGTCTTGAATGATTTCTCCTGAATCTCCAGTGTTAAGTGATTAAACTGATCAAACTGTGTGTTTTGTATGATGATGTGAGTTATCCATGTTTGTTGTTCTGCTGTACAGTCACTTGATTGCTGGTGGAGATGTCATTGAGTTGAATAAAAACAAACATTTCACAATGTTTGGTCAGATGATGCATTCAGTCTGTTGAAAGGGATTGCAAGAGAGACTGACTGCTTTACTCAACTTTGTGATGGTGGGCAAGTTGTCAAGGTTTACAGTGCCTTGCAAAAGTATTCAGACATTTTATTGTGTTACAAAGTGAGATTAAAATGGATTTAATTGTCATTTTTTGTCAACAATCAACACAAAATACTCTACTGTCAAAGTGGAAGAAAACATATACTTTAAAAAAAAGATTAATAAAAATGTAATAACTAAAATATAGTCATTGCATAAGTATTCAGCTCCCTGAGTCAATACATGTTAGAAATGAGAACTTGTTCTCAACTGGCTTACCTGGTTAAATAAAGGTGAAATAAATAAAAAAAACACCTTTGGCATCGATTACAGCTGTGAGTCTTCTTGGATAAGTCTCTAAGAGCTTTGCACACCTGGATTGTGGAATATTTGCCCATTATTCATTTCAAAATTCTTCAATCTCTGTCAAGATGTTGGGGATCATGGCTGGACAGCAATTTTCAAAACTTGCCATAGATGATCAAGCAGATTTAAGTCAAAACTGTAACTTGGCCACTCAGGAACATTCACTGTCTTCTTGGTAAGCAACTCCAGTGTAGATTTGTCTTTGTGTTGTAAGTTATTGTCCTGCTGAAAGGTTAATTCCTCTCCCAGTCTCTGGTGTAAAGCAGGTTTTCCTCTAGGATTTTGCCAGAGCTTACAGTAGCGCCATCCCGTTTCTTTTCATCCTGAAAAACTCCCCAGTATATGCCAATGTCAAGTATACCCATACCATGATGCAGCCACCATCATGCTTGAAAATAAGGAAGGCAGTTACTCAGTGATGTGTTGTGTTGGATTTGCCCCAAACATAAAGCTTCACATTTAGGCCAAAAAGTGTATTCCTATGATGTATTTTGCAGTATTACTTTAGTGCCTTGTCGCATAAAAGAGGCATGTTTTATTCTGTATATTTGTATTATTTTCACTCTCTCATTTAGGTCATTATTGTGAGTCACTACAGTGTTGTTGATCCATCCTCAGTTTTCTACCATCACAGCCATTGAACTCTGTAGCTGTTTTAATGCCGTTTCATTCCTGTCCTGCAGCTCAGTTCAGAAGGATGACTGTATCTTTGTGTCCGGGTGGTTTAATACATAATCCACAGCATAATAATTAATTTTGACCATGCTTAAAGATATATTAAATGTCTGATTTGTTATTGTTACCCATCTACCAATCACTGCCCTTCTTTTTGAGGCTTTCAAAAAGCACCCTGGTCTTTGTAGTTGAATCTGTGCGTGAAATTCAATACTTGACTGGGGGACCTTACAGATGTTGTATGTATGGGGGACAGAGGAAGGGTTAGTCATTCAAAAATCATGTCAACCCCTATTATTTCACACAGAGTCAGTCCATGTAATTTATGTGATTTTCTAAACCAAATTTTACTACTGAACTAATTTAGGCTTGCGTATACAAAGGGACTGAATACTTATGCAACGACTATTTTAGTTCAGAATAGTTTTTATAAAAAATAAAACTTTTTCTTTCACTTTGACATTACAGAGTATTTTGTGTAGATTGTTGACATAAAATGTCAATTAAATCCATTTTAATATCACTTTGTAACACAAAATGTGAAGAAATCCAAGGGGTCTGAATACTTTTGCAAGGCACTGTATATGATCCAGTCGAGATATCAAGTTACATTAAACTCCCATTCAGAAGGGTTAGTGGAAAATATAATCTGAGCTCTCACTGGACTCACTGTCTAATGATACTCATCATGACAAAACCTGACTGTTGATTGCGCCTTATGAGTCGCTGACAGCACCTGTAGCAGAAACTCACTTTACAGTCAGTTAACATAACATGATTAGATACAAGGGGGCTTCTTATTTTCTGATAATCCTTTCAGGGTAGCTTTTCAATATAAGACACACTTAGATTACCACAACAATAACCAGCCAGCTACATGCATTAAACCACTGCGGAGAGTTCATCCAGGTGTCTCGGGAATCAGGCTCAGGCATAACACTCAAATGGCCAGAACTATCACACACTGTAATGTTCATAGGTCCATCCATGAGCTGAGGTGTCACACAAAATAAGTCTAACATTCATTAGATATCATGATTTATCTTCCTCTATGTGTCAAACTATGCATGTGTGAAACAGACCATGAGACAACAGGTTGGCCTGTGAGGTTATACAGATATTTAATGAAGTACATCTGGGATGTTTACATCTTGTTTGGGACATCTTGTGGGCCTTCTCGACTCCACCACGGCCAGTTTGACTCGACTCCCAGAATGCACAGGGATACGAGTGGATCTTCATCTCCTGGTCTCCTGACCAATCTTCAGTATGTGCAAGTTGTAACTGTGCAACCAAGGTTATTATAGTACATGAAAACTGAAACAGAAAAATAATTGAAAAACAATTTAGTAAACTGAAATAAAAATTAAAACAAAAAACTAGGGAGGTATTGAATAGAGTTGAAGGATGGGACTAATAACAAATAACAACAAATAATAACAAAGATAGCTAATAATGTAAGCATACTGTGTCCATAATAAGTATATAGGTTGTATGTTGGGAGCTTTTGGGAAAGAGCACAGTTAGAAAGATATGGCATATAGAAGCAAACCGGATGGACATCATGAAAATGATTGGAGAGGTTGAGAGTAGAAGAAGTTCAGGAGCAAAAAATAAATAAAATATAAAATATAAAATATATATATATATATATATAATAGAATTATTGTAAAATTAACTCTGTCCATAAGGTGTAGATAGTAAGTATAGACCGGAAGTAGAGGCCTGGGCATTGTTGTTCACTAATTTACTCCAAGTAGGGAAAGGATGGTGGGGTTGAAAAGTAATAAAGGGGAGTATATATATATATAAAAAAAATAAAAAAAACATGGGGGATTGGAAGTGATGCAGACAATTACATTGATAGAAGATACAATCTATCTGCAATATTAAGCTGATCCATTCCCCCCAAAAGATAAAATAAAAAAAATAAAAATAAAAAATAAAAAATAAGACTATACTGAAACAATTATCTTTGAAAGCAAAACTAACTAAAATAAAATAAAAACCATCATAAATTATGTTTAGTTGTAGTTTTTTTTCTTCTAAACTTTGGGCAAAAATCGAATGGGGTTTTCAAGCTTTTTTTTCTAATTGAGTTTTTGAGCTTCTGAATCTAATAATAATAATAAATAATAATAATAATAATAATCTGGCGGGTAAATGCTGCCAGTAGATGCCAATGTTTCAAATGGGCCTTGCTTGTGCATCACTATCACTAGCTAACAGGGAAGAAATCCAAGGGTGAGCATGGAGCATGACTGGGCCAAGCTAGAACAGCTTCTGAAGTTGCTGGACCCGTTCGTAATCCACACCGACCAACTTCAATCTGACAGCCAGTCGCTGTCTGATGTGGTGCCGTGCCTTCTCAACCTTGAGGCACAATTGCAGTCAACTTCTGTTGCAAAACAGTTGGCACAGGTCCTCCTGAAGTCACTGCGTGAAAGCTTCGCATGCATACTGAATTATCTGGCAGCCAACTATGATACAACTCCTGCAGCAGCTTGCCTGATGGACCCAAGTGTGTCTCTGGCACTTCGCTCAACAGAGATGTAGCCACTGATGAGGGAAGCAGAGTTTTTTGTACATCAGCAAATCAGATAGTACAGCCGTGAAGCAGCAGGGCCCCAGGAAGATGCCAGCATGATGAATCCTGCAAGCATCTCGACCACAGTGCTTCAGAACAATAGCTTTCTCACATCGAAGATTGTGTCTGAGGTCACTGTCCAGCCTGCGGGTCAACCTGGCTGGGCATTAAGTGCCCCGTGTGAGCTGCAGAAATACCTGGAAGAGGTAAAGGGGGGACAGTACCAGTTCTGGCAGGATAGCTGTTTATCCAAAGCTGTGCCCTGTGGCACTGGATCTGGTTTCTACCCCTGCATCCCAAGCGTTCATTGAGACAATATTCTCTGTCTGTGGACAACTGTCATCAGGCTTGAGAAACCGAACGACCACCTCTCTGGAACGCAGAGTCTTCTTGAAGATAAACCAGAAAATCTTGTTTGGTTGAACAAAAACACAAACACACACACACAAGCTGGCTGGCTGTGAACTGATAGATTTGTGAAGAAATGTTGTATTGCTTATGTTTTTGCTGTTGCAGCTGTTTTCATTAACCCTATTTGAAGGGGTTAGTCAGTGATATACAGTACCAGTCAAACGTTTGGACACACCTACCATTCCAGGGTTTTTCTTTATTTTTACTATTTTCTACATTGTAGAATAATAGTGAAGACATCAAAACTAACACATATGGAATCATGTAGTAACCAAAAAAGTGTTAAACAAATCAAAATATATTTTTGAAGTATCCACCCTTTGCCTTGATGACAGCTTTGCACACTGTGTGTTGGTGTGTGTGGACCATGATAATTCCTTAGTGATGTGGACACCGAGGAACTTGAAGCTCTCGACCCGCTCCACTACAGCCCTGTCGATATGAATGGGGGTGTGCTTGGCCTTCCGTTTCCTGTAGTCCACGATCAACTCCTTTGTCTTGCTGACGTTGAGGAAGAGGTTGTTGTCCTGGAACCACACTGCCAGGTCTCTGACCTCCATTGTCGTCGGTGATCAGTCCTACCACCGTCGTGTCATCGGCAAACTTAATGATTATGTTGGAGTCGTGCAAAGCCACACAGTCATGGGTAAACACGACCCACTCTAACCCACTCCGCTACAGCCCCATCGATGTGGATGGGGGCGAGCTACATAAACATAACATGTCAAATGTGCCATGACTTCATTTGTTGTTTTTTCCTATCTCTTTCTGTCAGATAAAGGTACTTTTACTAAAGATAAAAAAGCATTGGATTGGTATAAAGATGGACAAGAGAGTTTCCTTCCACCATATTTCTTGTACCAGTCTAGGCGCTTATCCTTTAAATCCAAGTCAAATTAGGATTGATTTATAATTTAAACTTAACCAAACCTATGTCCTGGCCATGGAGTTGTATGGAGGCCTCTAGTGGCCAAAAACCTGTGTTAGCATGGGCAGCGCCATTGAGGACTCGCCATTTTGATTTAGTCAACTGGGCGGGACTTCCAACTTCATTGGCTGATCCCTCCTGATGACCCAGTTGGCATGACCTGATGACCCGGTTGGAGTCATGATACTGTAGCTGGGTCATTAGGAGGGATCAGCCAATGAATTTTACTTGTGAAGAAGAAAATTGACTATTTCAAGATGGAGATGGCCTCAATGGTGCTGCCCATGCTTTCAAAGACGCCATCATGACACAGATACAGAGATGTTATGTCTATCCAAGTCTATGGTCCTGGCCCATGTATTACTACCCCCCAGTGGTAAGAAGGGACATTCCCCAAAAAATAACTATACACCTACAATGCATAATAGGCTCCCACGCATAGGCTACTTCCTGTCCCACGCATAGGCTACTTCCTGTCCCTAACACTAAAACTAAAAAATATAAAAACAAAATATAAATGTTTTTATCAAACTGAAACTAAATAAAAACTAGCAAATAAAGTCTGAAAACTAACAAACTAAACAGAATTTCAAATAAAAATCTATAAACTAATAGAAATAATATAAAAATCTATAAACTAATAGAAATAAAAACTAATATTAAATCACAAAACTATAATGACCTTGTGTGCAACACACACATACTCTCATGTTCACAGCAAACACATTTTACTCAGATCCATGTCTCATTCACCCATTCATGTTCACTACAGGTGAGACAGAAGATGCTGTACTCTGCCACCCGAGCCACAGTGAAGAAGGAGTTTGGTGGTGGTCATGTGAAGGACGAGATGTTTGGCACAGTGGAGGTACAGTAGAAGCCATTTAAACCCCTCTGACGTACTCTGGTTATTCTCTCACCTGACTAATGATGGGGCTAGACCTATTGGTTCAAAGCCTTCCCTAAATGGCTGACCTCTTGTTTTCTCTCACTAGGAGGACATCTGTCTGGAAGGGTACCAGCGCCATGTGTCCTCCAGCTCCTGCCCTGCCCCACTCACAGCTGCTGAACAGGAGTTGCGGAGAATCAAAATCAAAAGGTGAGAGGACAAGCATCGACTACAGGGATTATTGCTGCGTATGTGTACATTATTCACCCAATGTCTCAGTGTTTTTGTGCAGTTTCAGTTTATAACTTTGTTGTTGCCGCCTTTCCAGGGCAGGGTTAAGCAGGTTAATTATTATCGTGTATGTGTGTTTTCACATACGGATGACAGAATGGTGGAATCCCTCATCAACTAAGATAAGGAGGCTCACACATTTACCTCAAATAATGACCATGCTTTTTATTCATTATTCGAGGGGAATTAATAACTCTCCTCTTTGAACCGCAGTCACTTGCACTGTCTAGAGAGAGAGTGTAAGTGAGAGAGCATAGAAAATGTGCATAAATGTGTCTGTGCACACTGCACACCTGTGTGTGGTGTACAGTGAGGGAAAAAAGTATTTGATCCCCTGCTGATTTTGTACGTTTGCCCACTGACAAAGACATGATCAGTCTATAATTTTTATGGTAGGTTTATTTGAACAGTGCGAGACAGAATAACAACAACAAAAATCCAGAAAAACGCATGTCAAAAATGTTATAAATTGATTTGCATTTTAATGAGGGAAATAAGTATTTGACCCCTCTGCAAAACATGACTTAGTACTTGGTGGCAAAACCCTTTTTGGCCATCACAGAGGTCAGCCGTTTCTTGTAGTTGGCCACCAGGTTTGCACACATCTCAGGAGGGATTTTGTTCCACTCCTCTTTGCAGATCTTCTCCAAGTCATTAAGGTTTCGAGGCTGACGTTTGGCAACTCGAACCTTCAGCTCCCTCCACAGATTTTCTATGGGATTAAGGTCTGGAGACTGGCTAGGCCACTCCAGGACCTTAATGTGCTTCTTCTTGAGCCACTCCTTTGTTGCCTTGGCCGTGTGTTTTTGGTCATTGTCATGCAGGAATACCATCCACGACCCATTTTCAATGCTCTGGCTGAGGGAAGGAGGTTCTCACCCAAGATTTGACGGTACATGGCCCCGTCCATCGTCCCTTTGATGCGGTGAAGTTGTCCTGTCCCCTTAGCAGAAAAACACCCCTAAAGCATAATGTTTCTACCTCCATGTTTGATGGTGGGGATGGTGTTCTTGGGGTCATAGGCAGCATTCCTCCTCCTCCAAACTCGGCGAGTTGAGTTGATGCCAAAGAGCTCGATTTTGGTCTCATCTGACCACAACACTTTCACCCAGTTCTCCTCTGAATCATTCAGATGTTCATTGGCAAACTTTAGACGGCCCTGTATATGTGCTTTCTTGAGCAGGGGGACCTTGCGGGCGCTGCAGGATTTCAGTCCTTCACGGCGTAGTGTGTTACCAATTGTTTTCTTGGTGACTATGGTCCCAGCTGCCTTGAGGTCATTGACAAGATCCTCCCGTGTAGTTCTGGGCTGATTCCTCACCGTTCTCATGATCATTGCAACTCCATGAGGTGAGATCTTGGATGGAGCCCCAGGCCGAGGGAGATTGACAGTTCTTTTGTGTTTCTTCCATTTGCGAAATATCGCACCAACTGTTGTCACCTTCTCACCAAGCTGCTTGGCGATGGTCTTGTAGCCCATTCCAGCCTTGTGTAGGTCTACAATCTTGTCCCTGACTCCCTTGGAGAGCTCTTTGGTCTTGGCCATGGTGGAGAGTTTGGAATCTGATTGATTGATTGCTTCTCTGGACAGGTGTCTTTTATACAGGTAACAAACTGAGATTAAGAGCACTCCCTTTAAGAGTGTGCTCCTAATCTCAGCTCGTTACCTGTATAAAAGACACCTGGGAGCCAGAAATCTTTCTGATTGAGAGGGGGTCAAATACTTATTTCCCTCATTAAAATGCAAATCAATTTATAACATTTTTGACATGCGTTTTTCTGGATTTTTTTGTTGTTATTCTGTCTTTCACTGTTCAAATAAACCTACCATTAAAATTATAGACTGATCATGTCTTTGTCAGTGGGCAAACGTACAAAATCAGCAGGGGATCAAATACTTTTTTCCCTCACTGTATGTACCTGTGTGAACACTACCATATACACATTTTCATTTTATTTTATTCTGTGTCTGACCCTGGTCAGTCACCCTTCTGCATTTTCTTTTAAATGGTTACTTCGTATTTTGGCAATGAAGCCCTTTATCTACTTCCCCAGAGTCAGATGAACTCGTGGATACCATTTTTATGTCTCTGCGTGCATTTTGAAGGAAGTTGCTAACTAGCGCTAGCTAAATTGCTAGTTAGCATTGGCTCATGAAACTACTTCTAACATCCTTCCTACTGGACACAGATACATAAAAATGGTATCCAAGAGTTCATCTGACTCTGGGGAAGTAGATAAAGGGCATCATTGCCTAAATCCTGTAGTATCCCTTTAAGTAATAATGTGTGTGTCATATTGTGTCTGTGTATATGCTGCCCCATGCAGGTGAAAACAGAGACCAGCGTAGCGAGTAAGCGCCAAGCACTGCAGGGCCTTGCTTTCCCACTGCAGGAGGACGCCAAACGGGTTCTACAACAACTTGCACAGAAACACATCAACTACATACACCTGGTGAGCCATATAGAAATGCCATTAGCCAAATAAAAATGATTGATATCTCTAGCGGCCACAATCTCAGAGATAATAGCCATGACTGACCAATGTATTCTGACCCAAAGCACACTGACTGAGCCATACACAGTCATATCAGTGGTTAGTGTGTAATATTTGTGTGTTGCAGAAGTTGGACACAGAGCGAGAGACGATAGAGCTGGTCCATTCCGACCCGACATAGGCCCATGAGATGCCTTGCAGGGTTCCCACGGATACGCCCAGATACAACTTCTTCCTCTATAAACACTCCCATGAAGGGGACTACTTGGAATCTGTGGGTCAGTCTCAGTCATTGATTTTCTGCCCTAATCATTCTACTCTCTCTCTCCCTTCATTCAATTACATTAAAATACAATGGTGCACTATTATAATGTTATAAATACTGACCAAAGAGCAGCAGGTCCAACCCCCTCTCTTCATCTACTCCATGCCCGGGTACAGCTGTAGCATTAAAGAGCGGATGCTGTACTCCAGTTGTAAGAGTCGACTGCTGGATGAGGTGGAGAAAGATCTGGAAGTTGCCAAGAAGGTAATCCACTGAAATTCAGATATTGCATACACAATGTGGTCTTTGTGTTTTTACAATATTGCTCTGTGCCTGAGTGGAAGTGCACATTTACTCTGTGTTATTGTAAACTCAGCATAAAAAGAAACGTCCTCTCACTGTCAACTGCGTTTATTTTCAGCAAACTTAACATGTGTAAATATTTGTATGAACCTAACAACATTCAACAACTGAAACATAAACTGAACAAGTTCCACAGACATGTGACTAACAGAAATTGAATAATGTGTCCCTGAACAAAAGGTGGGGGGGGGGGGGGGGGGGGGCAAAATCAAAAGTAACAGTCAGTATCTGTCCCAGATCCGGGCTCTTCGCAGAACACTGACATTCCTGTCTTGCAGGAAATCACACACAGAACGAGCAGTATGGCTGGTGGCATTGTCATGCTGGAGGGTCATGTCAGGATGAGCCTGCAGGAAGGGTACCACATGAGGGAGGAGGATGTCTTCCCTGTAACGCACAGCGTTGAGATTGCCTACAATGACAACAAGCTCAGTCCGATGATGCTGTGACACACCGCCCCAGACCATGACGGACCCTCCACCTCCAAATCGGACTGAGCACCTCCAAAACTCTGTTACTCTGTGTTATTGTGTTTACTGTGTTATTATATTTACTCTGTGTTATTGTATTTACACTGTGTTATTACTATGTGTAATTGTATTTACTCTGTATTGTTGTATTTACTATGTGTATTGTATTTACTCTGTGTTATTGTATGTACTCTGTGTATGTATTTACTCTGTGTTATTGCATTTACTGTGTGTTGTATTTACTCTGTGTTATTGTATTTACTCTCTTATTTTACTCTGTGTATTGTATTTACTGTGTTGTTGTATTTACTCTGTATTATTACTCTGTATGACTGTATTTACTCTGTGTTATTGTATTTACTCTGTATTATTAATCTGTGTTATTGTATTTACTCTGTGTAGTGTATCTTCTCTGTGTGTTGTATCTACTCTGTGATATTACTCTGTGTTATTGTGTCTGTGTGCAGATGGAAATTGACAATGGGGATGAGTTGACAGAGGAGTTTGTGTATGATGAGGTTCATCCTAAACAGCATGCCTTGCAGTAGGCCTTCGCCAAGCCTCGTGGACCAGCAGGGAAGAGAGGCAGTATGCTCCTCATCAAGAGCCCAGCGGATGGGGAGGGCAGGCCGGAGAAATAGAGAGAGGGAAAGAGCTTTGTCGTCACCCCAGCCCAAGCCATCCCCAGCCTGCCCCAGCCCTGCCCTCAAACCTCCTCCTCCTGTTGCCATGGCATCTGGCAGCTTGTTTGGCCACGAGGAAGGAAAAGGAGAAGAACATGGATTTCTCCTGGCATTTTTATTTTCACCCCCCTTTGCTTGTGTTTTAACAAAGTGTCATTACTGTACATGCTATTCATGAACATCAACTATAGGATAAAATGAAGGAAATCCATGTGTTTCTCTCATTCTCTCTCTTAAAAACATTAAACATACATTTACATTTTACATTTTAGTCATTTAGCAGACGCTCTCATACACACACAGATGGACAGACAGATGGACTGACAAAAATGAAAGACCAATGGGTGGTCTTACAGATACCTCAGCCAAACTTCTCTATTGCTAATGTCACATTGGCATACAGAAGAAGCCTGTCCATCTGATGTGTTGTCATAGGGTTGCAAAATTCAAGTAACTTTCCCCAAATTCAGTTTTTCCAGAAATCCTGGTTAGAGGATTTCCTGCTTATTCCCTTGTAACTCTAGGAATCTTCCAACCAGTTTTTCTGGAAATCCAAGAAATTTGGGGAATGTTACCGGAATTTTGCTACCCTAGTTGTCCATATCTTGCCTGTTGCCACTAAATGTTTTGTATCAAACATGTTTGTAAAAACAGATGATACTAACGAGAGGAATTCCAAATAAAATGTAGTTTTTTTTGTGTATGTTGTGTCTTTTTCTTATCACTGAAATTATAAGTTAAAGAAAACAGCACAAACTGCATGGGACCGATGATGCATCATTACAAGAGACAGTCTCCTGTGGCAGCTATTGAAGGACACACAGAGGGGACAGGGAGGACACTTCTGACTAGACTCATGAAGGCTGCAGCACTGACTGGCCTGTTGAGGGAGCAAATGGCCATATTTTAACATACTGTAAGCACAGATTGTCAACATGCGCAGGCAGCCATGCATAATTACAACAGAGCTGAGTCCCTGTTAATTAAGATCTGCAAGGAATTCCTTCTTAATTGAATTAGTGAGTAGCCTATTAGCCCACATGCCTTTGAGAGCAGGTTCATTAAAACATCTGATGACAGACACTGTTTACACGTTTAGACTAACATAAGGTAAAGGCACCCCAAAAAGCCATATCACATGATGACATATTGCACATTACACTTCTTCAACAGTGTATTGTAATTTAATGCTGGTCCCATTGGGACACACAGTTCCAGTTTAGTACTGCTACTGGCCTGATTCAATCATCAAGCCCTTGATTAATTGAAACAGGTGTATTAGTGCTGGTCAGGGACAAAAGCCTGTACACCAGTTGGTTCCCAGCCAGGTCAGACCAGCTGGAAGACGAATTCGATAACCTTTTCATCAGTTTGTTTGAAAGCTTGCCTTACTCTACCGAACGAGTCTGTCATACAAATAACGAGCCATTTTACTGTGGCAAATTAATGTTAGGCTACCACACACCACACCTAACATCACATTTGTTTATAATCAGGGGTGAACGTAAGGCAGTATAGTCCGGTACGACGTCCCGGCAAAATACATAGTGGGGTACGCCATACCTGTAAAACGTAAGCCTATCACAATTAATACAACATGCCCAAAACACTATAGGCTTTTACACCATTATTTAACATTACTTCGTGTCACCGCATGAAAAATTAGCGAATTGACTGGAAACCAGGTGGTATACGCTCCAAATTGAGTTGTGGTTTGAGGAGAACACTTACATGTTGCCAAGGCAGAGATGAGTGGCCGAGACCGAGGCGCGCGTGGACAACCGTGGATGCATAAATTCAGGCTAGTGTATGCCTAATTACTTTGTCATTGGGTCAGTGCCACTTTTGTTTGTTTTTGGACAATAATTTCCTCCTCCAGGTTAGATGGACGTCATATTGTATTTGTGTCTCCCCTTTTCGTAGGCCAATTATATATGGATCAGACAACATCGTTTTTATTGATCTGTTTGTCAGTGTCAGCAGAGTAGGCTACCCTGTATTTTTTGTAGTATTCAAAAAATGCGTGCGCGCACTTGGATGTCCCGTAGCGGTAAGAAATTAAATCCACTTTCATAAGTATTTTCAGCTGACGAAGATTATTTGGAAAAACCCTATTCGTTCCGCATACCCATTATTCTAGTGACTCAATTCCCAGAATGTGTAGAGAGCTGGCTGCAGGTCTGTCTAGTGGGCGGAGATAATCGCATCAGAATTCGTGCCAAGTGACGAGGGGGAAGGTATAGTGGTACGGTCTGATTCCTGGCAGAGCAGCAAGACTGAATTACTATGATTAATTTAGACTCACCAGGAATGAGCAATTAGTTGTTTTTTTACACTGGCATTCACAGTAACAGATTTCAAATAATAAAATGTGGACAGGCTCGGTGGCGGTGCGCATGACGTCAGAAGCTCTGGTGTACTGAACAGTTCTTAGAATGGAATCAGAGTAGAATTCTTGGAATTGGTTCATTTTAAAAGCCGAACCCACACACCCTCCCGCACATGCTATGAACCCATTTTTAGAGACAACACTCATCTGCTGCTCTGTATCCTCTTTTTCTACATTTCACATTTATTTTTGTGCTTTTGAATGAGATTATTAGTTTATTAACATAGGGGATATTCGGATGCGTCTCTATTCACTGAACAGTTGCGTGGGACATTAATTGGAATAAAATAAGAACATTCCTTCGTATCGACCGGCTATATTTTCGCAAAAACCGCTGTGGAATTATTCTAGAGATATTGAAGACTCGCCATCATGATTCTTTGTGTTCAAGGGTAAGTTCACATTCTTTTGTCCCTGTTTGATGTAACAGTTCATCATGCTTTGATCCTGATATTTAAAACCAAATGGAAAAGACAAAAGTAGTGTTTTATCTTAGTGACCTAAAATAATTAATTTTACAATACTGTAGAATATCAACCATATGATACGTGTGGGTGGCTATTTGTGATGTTGTCATAGGAAGTTGTTTTATGTACTTATGTGAATCAGGGTTGGGGTTAATTCCACAAATGCAATTCAATCCCCTCTCCCTGTAAATTCAATTTAATTCAATTAAAATTCCAGGTCATTATTTGAATTCAGAGATAATTCTATTTCTGTCAATTCCAATGTTAGGTACATTCCAAGAACTCAATTCCCAATTCAATATTATCACTAACAGGGGCGGCAGGTAGCTTAATGGTTAAGAGCGTTGTGCCAGTAACCGAAAGGTCGCTGGTTCTAATCCCCGAGCTGACTAGGTGAACAATCTGTTGATGTGCCCTTGAGCAAGGCACTTAACCCTAATTGCTCCTGTAAGTCGCTCTGGATAAGACACACACACACAAAAAAAACAATGCCACAAATTCTGCTGTGCAGATAGCCTAGCTATACTGGAAGTAGAAATACGAGTTGAAATGATTTAAAACAAATCCTGCAATACATTTGATACTAGGTTAATTAATTCCAATTAAATTCCCAACTGGGAAATGTACAAATATTTAATTCCAAAGATGAAATGTTTTCACAATTCCAATTAAATTCTAAATCCATAACTTGAAGATTGTTTAAATTCTAATTGAATTCAACAGATTCTCCACTTCATGCGTGAATTCAATAATTAAATTGGAATTTCAAATGAAATTGGAATCGACCCCAACCCTGATGTGAACTCATATTGTAATACTTCCAATTGTGACAGTCTAACCCGTTACTGAGCATCTGAATCAATTCACACTAACAGTCAGTGACACTGCTTGATGTCAGGGCTCTTTGTCTGGCCAATGTTCAAGGAAGGGAGCCATCCGAGATTTAATGTTGAGACTTGAGGTCTTGTAAAGCCACCACTCCCAAATTATGAGCTTTGTTCCTGCAAAAACTTTCCCCCCCAACAAAACATTAAGGCCAAGGGTGGACTGGCCATCTGACATTTCAGACAATTATTTGGCTAATAGTGGGGACCTCCAGGAAATAATGGGCTGGTGTGGGGGCGTGGGGGGAAAAAATGGTCCGGTGTGTTAGCCATGCCAGGGCCGATTTCTGGTCCCAGTCCGCCCCTGATTAATTGGCCTATGACAGTGTTAGGACTTATCCTTTAACACAATAGTCCGTAATGTAATGAAAGGTTCACCTGGTTGTTCCATACGGTCTCCTACACTTCTCCTGTACTCATTGTTGTAGTCTCTTGTTTACAGCCCTAGACCACTGCTGTCTGGCAGCCCCACAGAGGGCCCCCTGGGCATGCGGACAGGGAGCATCTCCTCCCCTCACTGCCTTCACAGCACCCCTCCACAGTGGGACCCCACGAAAGACCTGCGCACCATCGCCAACAACTTCTTCTACCTTGATACCTCAGGTAATGCAAATGGAATATTCAAACTGTGAACTCAGTCCAACAGGCTCCCTGAAACCCTGTCATTGTTTCTTGTTTTAATGTTTTTCGTAAAACAAGAGCTACTTGCGTTTCAATTCCTCCAGCTGACTGTTTACTACAGGATTATTACTCAAATCTAAACCATTGAATAAATTAATAACCTTTGATCTATCTCTCTCTGCAGGCTGGTACTGGGGAGCCATCACAGCAGGTCAGGCCCATGCAGTTCTCCAGGCAGCGTCAGAAGGGGCCTTTCTGATTCGAGACAGCAGCCATCCCCTGTACATGCTGACCCTGTCTGTTAGGACTGCCCGTGGCCCCACCAGCATACGCATCCAGTATAGTGGAGCCCGGTTTCTGCTAGACTCCAGCTCGCCAGCCCGACCCAGCCTTTTGTCCTTTCCTGACGTGCCTAGCATGGTGCAGTACTACGTGGGAACAACGAGTAAGGTGCAGCAGGGCAAGATGGAGGAGACTCATGGCGCCCAGCCTGCCCAGAGGACAGTTCAGGAGAGCACAGTAGTGCTGAAGCTCAAGCGGGCTGTGCACAAGCCCCAGGCCTTCCCCTCCCTCCAGCACCTCACACGCCTCACCATCAACTGCAGCACATGCTGTCCCGACCAGTTGCCACTACCACGCCCACTGGTGCGCTACCTGCAGGACTACCCCTACCATGTGTGAGCGTCCTCTGGTCTACACTCCCATGGAAGGCAGAGCTGAATTAAACGAAACAGTTAAACTAAACCTTGAGCAGCGCTGTCAGAAAGAGGTCCCTGGCAGCTGGAAACCACATCACTGCACTGGCCACTAATGGAGCCACATCAGACATATGGTTGGTCATGAGACCATGTTTGGGAAAGAACCTTCCAGAAAATGGTGCCTGGTTTTGGATTTCTCAGAGGGAAGTGGAATTCTGCGTACCACCCCACTTCGCAGAGGTGATTCACTGGAAAACACAATGTGGTGCTAACTGTAGTGTATCCTCGTGCTATGAGGGATACTGTTTTTTTTTCTGTTTCTGAGCAGTGAATAGTTTTTCAGTCAGATGTATTTTCAATGTTTACTTTTTTTGTTTAGTCAACATTGTCATTTTTTACCCCCCAACTCTGTACATATCCCTTTTTCTATTAAAACAATATTCAACATGAGTCGTACTGCTTCTGTCTTCAATATTCAACATGAGTCGTACTGCTTCTGTCTTTAATATTCAACATGAGTCGTACTGCTTCTGTCTTCAATGTCCCGTTGTCTTTTGGTGGGTCAAATGCCACAAATAGCTTTATAGCCTACATCCACAGAAAAAAAAATGGGTTGTGTGGGCAGTGTGCCTAATCTCGGTTGTTATCTGAAGTTCTCTTTATAACAAAGCGACTAAACCCCCTCCCCCTCAGGTATAAGTGTGTACACAGCAGAATCGACAAGGCAGTAGAGGCTGGATTAAATGTGTTTTTGTGTAAGAGTGAATCTGAGTCAGCAGGGAGGGGAGGGCGAATCCCTTGATTCGTAGAACTACTGAATGCCTTCTGGGAGGGTGAAATTCTGAGAGGGAGGGTTCTAAGAAAAGCCTCTCAGTAATTACCTTCAGCCTACTGCTCGCTCTGTCCCTATCACACTCACCCTCCCTTATTGCCACACAAACACACATTAGCGCCTACAATGTCCTCAGGTATAAATGTAGCCTATCTACGATATGTATTTGTGCGCGTTTGTGAATGTATACATTATTCGAGAGCAGTAGTGTGTACAGTACGTGGCAGATGGATGGGGGTGTTAGGGCTGTAGCAGGCTGGCCTGAAGCCAGTGAAACAGGCTCCATATCTCACACAGTCTCTCAACGCTGGTCTGGTCTTGATCTGTGCCGCACTCCCTTTTTTGAAGGATGCAGAAACGAGGCCTATAAGGGACAGAGAGAATATGAATTGGGCGTTCAATGTTAATACATTCCTTGATCAAAGATTTTGTAAATGGAGTTATCTAACAAAGATATAGCAGTCTGATTTACTCCTGACCTGTCAGTGATGTCACGATGCGTGTGCAAGTATTGTAACCCTTCTACACTTCCCTCTACCCACTGCTGGATGAGATGTGGATGACGTGGGTCTACTTCCAAGTATATGCGACTGCAAGACAGGAAAAAAACGAAAACACAGTAAAGTGAGACTTCTCAAACCATTGTAAAACAGAGATTGAAGTGGTGAGACCTGCTTTACAATAGATCCACCAGAGTGACTAGACAGAAACCTTCTTAGTGTGCGCCATAAAATGGTCCATCTAAAATAATATAGGCCTACTGTGACTGTTCCCTTAAAAACACACTGTGGCCTGCATAAACACACACAATACAGTTTAGGGATCCAGGACCGACTTGAGGTTCACCATATGGATGTGATGAGAGGTAAGGTCAACAGGAAAAATGGGGGGAGGGATATTATACAGATAGCAATATTACATTCATATTGGCCAATTTCAAGGGTGTGATTTTATGTTATGTTCTAGATGCAGACAATACACCCAGTGCCTTACCCATGGTTTGATAAGAGCTTTGGAGCCAGAGTCAGAATGTGCCTCATCACCTGCATGCCATCTTTCCCCCCATCCAGAGCAGCATGGTCCTCAAACCTGAGGATGTCAACATAGAACACTTTAGTTCATATACCTCCGTTTGAACTCTGAGACTTAAGAAAATAGAGGAACAAAGTGTGTGCGTTTGTGTGTGTGCGTGCGACTGCTCGTCTCACCTGAGGATTTCAGGTTCAAGTGATGTCATATCCTCTGAGAACAGGTACGGTGGGTTGCTGACCAAAACTGAGACTGGACTGCACATGCTCACAATCATGTCTGCATCTAGAACATAACATGAAATCACACCCTTGAAATTGGCCAATATGAATGTAATATCTGTATGGTTTATCTTTCTTTACCGACTGTATAATATCCCTCCCCCCACTGTTCCTATTGACCTTACCTCTCATCACATCCATATGGTGAACCTCAAGTCTGTCCTGGAGCCCCAAACTGTAACATACAGCCAATCAGGTTTGCACACATATTCACAAAACATAACATCTAAATTAATGTTGCTAATCAAAGTCAGCTAATCAAAGTTAAATTGATATCCTGTGTTTTCATGATTACCTGTGTGAGTTTTCTCTTGTCAGATTCACAGCATCCTTGTTTTTATCAAAAGCAATCGCTCTGAGCTGAGAGAGAGAGTGAGAGAGCGAGAGAAACTAAAATGTTAGTGTTGTTTGAGTGAAGGGGCTCAGAGATCAAGGAACATGATATGAAAGAAAGGGAGAAAGTAAAAGAGTAAGAGAGCTCACTTGCGGCAGGCTCTTGAGTAGACTGAGGGAGATGGCCCCCGAGCCACAGCCCACTTCCAGGCACCTGAAGCTGGTCTCCTCACTTGATCCAGTCCCCTGCATCATCTGGAGATCTGTAAGCACTAGGCCAACCAGCTCCTGCACAGACAGACGTGCAACCACAGCTTGATACAAGGTCATGTCTCTGCAATGGAAATTCTGATGACAGTCACAGAATGAAAGATATTCAAATGCACTCTTATTATTACAAGATATTATGGTCCCTTGTATTTCAAACAACTTGTTTTATAGTACACAATATTTTAGTCATTTAGCAGACGCTCTTATCCAGAGCGACTTACAGTTAGTTAGTGCATACGTTTTCATACTGGCCCCCCGTGGGAAACGAACCCACAACCCTGGCGTTGCAAGCGCCATGCTCTATCTACCAACTGAGCTACAGGGGACTACCAGTCATAAGTTTTAGAACACCTACTCATTCAAGGGATTTTCTTTATTTTTAGTATTTTCTACATTGTAGAATAATAGTGAAGACATCAAAACTGTGAAATAACATGTGTGTGTGTGTGTGTGTGTGTGTGTGCATGCATGCGTGTGTAAGTGTATGTGTGTGTACTCTCCTGCACCTCAGTTTCAGGCCGAGGGATAAACACGGGAGGTCTCATCTTCAGCGTCAGATCTCTAAAGTCCCACTCTTCAATCACATACTGCACTGGCATTCTGAACACACATCACATTTCACATGTTAATGCAATGTAGGCTACACTTTCCAATGGAATTCTTAGCGTTTCACAGAGACAGAAGAATAGGTCAAGTGCACCATCACTGACTGTAGCACGTTAAGACTAAGCCTGTATGTACCTGGTGAGACGTCTGGAACAGAGCTCCCATGTCTGCTCTGTCTGTTCTTGTGTCAGGAATTCAGCCAGCCTGTCCTGTCCAATGCCCTCTAACTGGGAGGGGAAGAGGTTGAAGGTTAGATGAAGGGCAACAATTCCTTCTGCGCGAGACCGATACACTGAGAAGGATAAAAGGTGGAAAGGTGAACCTTTTTGGGTTCAGAAACTCACTGTTTTAGCACCAACCAAATGTGCAATTATGTACTGGCTGGAGAGATGTGGCTCTGAGACACCTCTCTGCTGGAAATGGCCTGTCCATAACTTGACCGCTTGCTGCACCGTGAGTCTGCTAGCTGTAGGTAAGGCTGGGAGGCATTCAGCCAAACCCGGAGACGTGCACAGCCACTGGAGGAAGGGAGGGAGAGACAGAGAATATTACGAGGCTACTATCCTTCATTCAATAAATCATTCCAGTTGTGGTTATAGTGTAAACGACGTCCTTTCCCTGCAATCCACGTGCAACACTTTCTAGGAAAGGTAATCTTCATTTACCTTGTGTCCAATAAATCGGTCTTTAAGTGGTTTAAAGCAGTTATAAACCTCATTCAATGGTCTTCGTAATCTTATCCACATGATATTCCACTTTCTCTTGACACAATACCAACACTTGCAGCAGTTGACATAAAGAAGGTACAAAAAAAAAAGATTGTAGCTAATGTGAAACTCCGGTATAATCTTTTCTCTATATTAATGAATATTATGTAAAACCAGCTTAATGTGGTTTAAGTAAATTGACTGTACTAACTATTAAATACAAAATAAAAAAAACAATTTCAATCATTCGTTAGGGGTATTCACTTCCGGGCATCGTTCACTCTTTCAGAATAAAAGTGCATCAGATTAATTCATAAATCTTTCCAGAATAAAAGTTAACTATATTATGTCGATCCATAAAATAAGAATGACGTTAAATTCATTTAAGAAGCAAATTGCATCACATGCATCAGATTAATTCATACTGCATCTACATATATTTAACATTTACTATAAAGATTTAATTTCCCAAATCTGACCTCCATCAACTTGTTTGGCGTGTCCTGGAACGTACTTATTAGTAATGCGCAGCACGGGTAAATGATGATCGGGGCGAAGGAGATGGGACTGTATGGAAGGGAGTTTAGTCCCCTTGGTTGTTATTCCTGTAAATCCACCATGGCTACTCCCGCCTTCAGTAGTTGATTTAGAAGTGTTGGAGAGACTACAGAAAGATAGGGAGGGTGTTGATCTAGCTGATTTCTTTAAGAGACGTCTGGAAACTGTGTATCAGGATTTTGTGGCCATTTACACAGATGGTTCAAAACATCTAAGTACAGGACGTACTGGGTCAGCATTTGTAGTGCAGGATTGTGGGGTAGAAGTCAGGAAACGTATTACAGATCATCTGGCTGTATATACGGCTAAACAGGCTAAACAAGAATTAGTAGTGGGGATGTTGATGTTGAAGTTTCAATGAGCAAGGCAGATGCAAAAAGACTGATATATACAGTGATGGTGCAGAGATGGCAGTAGCAGTGGAATAGAGATAATAAGGGAAGGCATTTATTTCAAGTACAGAGGAAAGTGTAGCTGAGTTGGTAGAGCATGGCGCATGCAATGCCAGGGTTGTGAGTTCGTTTCCCACGTGGGGCCTGTATGAAAAATGTATACACTCACTAACTGTGTCGCTCTGGATAAGAGCGTCTGCTAAATGACTAAAATGTAAATGTAAAATGAAAGTCGGGGAGGGGATGACGGCAGGAAGGGACAAGAGAGGAGGCTATTTTTTTTACAAGATTAAGGGTGGGACACAGCCAGTTGAAAAACACATTAAATGTGATAGGAAAGCATCCAAGGAAAATGTGATTATTGTCAGGAAACAGAGACCGTGGAGCATGTATTGCTACAGTGTGGGAAGTATCAGAGGGAAAGAGAGAGGATGAGATCTAGAATGAGGGAGAAGGGGATACAGTAAATTAGTTTAAAGAGTACATTGAGTAGAACGTAATTAGATATAGTCTCAAATATGTTGTTATCTTTTTTAAGAGAAACGGGGCTAGCAGGTAGGATTTTGTTTCTCCCTTTCGCTGGCCCACACTCCAGTACAGTAGGTGGCGGTAATCACCAATAAATCCCACTGAAGAAGAAGAAGATATGATGTTCGGGAACACCACCATGTTTCATCGATAGCGCAAGGTTGTTGTTCGCCACATAGCTAGCTAGCATACAACTTGTTCAATTGTGTTTACGCTCTACGCGGTGGTATATTTTTTTGCATGACATTTAAACAGATAGGTCGTCATTAGCAAGGAAATACAAGAGAATCCAGTTGTAGCCTTACACATTAGCCAGAGAGCTAAGTTAGCTAGATATAGCAGGACTAGCTAGCTAGAGTAGACTGTCGTCAACAACAACAACAACCCTTCCCTTCCCTGCTCTGTCAGGAATTGGGAGTCATCATATAGCTACTAGCTAGTTACAGTAACAACAGAGTGACTTACAACTACTAGATAACATAGCTACTGCAGGTCTTCAAAAATACTGATCTTCAATTGAGCATTCACATTTTCTGGGAACTGGGTGAGAGATTGACGCAGTTGGAGTTGCTTTCTTTCTTTAAAGTCCTTTTACAACGTCATGGGGATGAGTCGAATAGAGTGTATATTCTTTAGTGAGTTTCACCCCACACTGGGACCAAAGATTACCTACCAGGTAGGTGTACAGTACAGTATATTTTTTGACCGTTTTTGCAACGAGTGCCAAGCTAACTTCCTAATCAAATAGCATTTTATTAGACCAACAGTGAACTGCTTACTTAGGGGTCCTTTTCCAACAATGCAGAGTTAAAGATAAGATCAAAAATAGAAATAGTGACACAGTGAATAACGAGGAAATATAACATGGCTATATATAGAGGGTAGAAAATAACATGGCTTATACAGGGAGTACCAGTACCGAATCAATGTGCAGGGTCACGAGGTAATTGAGGTAGGTATGTACTGTACTGTGCATTCGGAAAGTATTCAGACCCCTTGACTTTTTCAACATTTTGTTACGTTACAGCCTTATTCTAAAATGGATTACATTGTTTTTTACCCTCATCAAGCTACATTAAATACCCCATAATGACAAAGTAAAAACAGGTTTTTAGATTTTTTGGTGCAAATTTATCAAAATAGAAATAACTAAAATATCACATTGAAGCACCTTTGGCAGCGATTACAGCCTTGAGTCTTCTTGGGTATGACGCTACAAGCTTGGCACAGGAGTTTCTCCCATTCTTCTCTGCAGATCCTCTCAAGCTCTGTCAGGTTGGATGGGGAGCGTTGCTGCACAGCTATTTTCAGGTCTCTAGTGATATTCAATCTGGTTCAAGTCGGGTTCTGGCTGGGCCACTCAAGGACATTCAGAGACTTGTCCCGAAGCCACTCCTGCGTTGTCTTGGCTGTGTGCTTAGGTTCGTTGTCCTGTTGGAAGGTGAAATTTAGCCCCGGTCTGAGGTCCTGAGCGCTCTGGAGCAGGTTTTCGTCAAGGATCTCTCTGTACTTTGCTCCGTTCATCTTTCCCTCAATCCTGACTAGTCTCCCAGTCCCTGCCGCTGAAAAACATCCCCACAGCATGATGCTGCCACCACCATGCTTCACCTTAGGGATGGTGCCAGTTTTCCTCAAGACGTGACGCTTGGCATTCAGGCCAAAGAGTTCAATCTTGGTTTCATCAGACCAGAGAATCTTGTTTCTCATGGTCTGCGAGTCCTTTAGGTGCCTTTTGGCAAACTCCATGCGGGCTGTCATATGCCTTTTACTGAGGAGTGGCTTCCGTCTGGGCACTCTACAATTAAGTCCTGATTGGTGTAGTGCTGCAGAGATGGTTGTCCTTCTGGAAGTTTCTCCCATCCCCACAGAGGAACTCTGGAGCTCTGTCAGAGTGACTATTGGGTTCTTGGTCACCTCCCTGACCAAGGCCCTTCTCCCCCGATTGCTCAGTTTGGCCGGGCGGCCAGCTCTAGGGAGAGTCTTGGTTGTTCCAAACTTCTTCCATTTAAGAAAGATGGAGGCCACTGTGTTCTTGGGGACCTTTAAAGCTGCAGAAATCTTTTGGTACCCTTCCCCAGATCTGTTCCTCGACAAAATCCTGTCTCGTAGCCCTACAGACAATTCCTTCAACCTCATGGCTTGGTTTTTGCTCTGACATTTACTACAGGTGGACTCCAATCAAGTTGTAGAAACATGTCAAGGATGATCAATGGAAACAGGATGCACCTGAGCTCAATTTCGAGCCTCATAGCAAAGGGTCTGAATACTTATGTAAATAAGGTATTTCTGTTTTTTAGTTTTAATACATTTGCAAACATTTCTAAAAACCTGTTTTCACTTTGTCGTTATGGGGTATTTTGTGTAGATTGAGGAAAACATTGAATTGAATCAATTTTAGAATAAGGCTGTAACGTAACAAATGTGGAAAAAGTCAAGGGGTCTGAATACTTTCCGAATGCACTGTATAGGTAGGGGTGAAGTGACTAGCAGCAGCCTATGTGGTGAGTATGAAAGTGTGTGTGTGCGTGGCGTCAGTTTGCGTGTGTGTGTCAGTAAGTGTGTGTGGGTAGAGTCCAGTGTGTGTGCAATGAGTCACTGCAAAAGAGTTTGTGCCAAAAAAGGTCAATGCAGGTAATCCGGGTAGCCATTTGATTAGAAGTCTTATGGCTTGGGGGTAGAAGCTGTTCATGGTCCTGTTGGTTCCAGACTTGGTGCATTCGTACCGCTTGCTGTGCGGTAGCAGCTAGAACAGTCTGTGGCTTGGGTGCCTGGAGGCTTTGACAGTTTTTTGGGCCTTCCTCTGACACCGCCTGGTATAGAGGTCCTGGATGGCACGAAGCTCTGCACAGTACTATAGCGCCTTGTGGTCGGATGTCAAGCAGTTACCATACTGGTGATGCAACCAGTCAAGATGCTCTCGATGGTGCAGCTGTATAACTTTTTGAGGATCTGAGGGCCTATGTCAAATCATTTCAGCCTCCTGAGGGGGAAGAGGCGATGTCGTGCCCTCTTCACGACTGTGTTGGTGTGTCTGGACCATGATAGATCCTTAGTGATGTGGACACTGAGGAACTTGAAGCTCTCAACCTACTCCACTACAGCCCTGTCGATGTGGATGGGAGCGTGCTCGCCCCTCCGTTTCCTGTAGCCCACGATCAGCTCCTTTGTCTTGCTGACATTGAGGGAGAGGTTGTTTTCCTGGAACCACACTGCCAGGTCTCTGACCTCCCTATAAGCTGTCTCATTGTCGTCGGTGATCAGGCCTACCACCGTTGGGTCGTCGGCAAACTTAGTGATGATGTTGGAGTTGTGCGTGGCCATGCAGTCGTGGGTGAACAGGGAGTACAGGAGGGGACTAAGCACGCACCTCTGAGGTGCCCCCGTGTTGCGGGTCAGCGTGGCTGATGTGTTATTGCCTACCCTCACCACCTGGGGGCGGGTTATCTGGAAGTCCAGGATCCAGTTTCATAGGGAGGTGTTCAGTTTCAGACTCCTTAGCTTAGTGATGAGCTTTGAGGGCACAATGGTGTTGAACGCTGAGCTGTTGTCAATGAACAGCATTCAGGTGGGAGAGGGCAGTGTGGAGTGCAATAGAGATTGCGTCATCTGTGGATCTGTTGGGGCTGTGTTCTATCTTTTCCCATCTTTGTGCTGTGTTCTATCCTCTCCAGGTTCCAGAGGAATACATATCCCGGGAGCTCTTTGACACAGTACAGGTGTACATCATTACCAAACCAGAACTGCAGAACAAACTCATAACTGTGTACGTACACTTGGGCATTTACATTAGGATATCCTTATTCATGGACAAGTTTAAGAACAGGTATTTTTCTCTCTCCTCTTTGATTGATGTAGAACGGCCATGGGGAAGAAGTTAATTGGTTGTCCGGTGTGCATCGAGCACAAGAAGTACAGCCGTAATGCTCTGCTCTTTAACCTGGGCCTTGTATGCGATGCACGGACCAAGACCTGTGCCCTTGAACCGATTGTCAAGAAGCTGTCTGGGTACCTCACAACGCTGGAGGTAAAAGGATCTCCCTTGAGGCTAGTGCTCTTTATCAAAACATCACAAGATCTGAATGTCTTATGGGATATATAGGTCAAAGTGTTCATATTTTTCTTTATTTTGCAGCTGGAGAGTGGGTTCATATCGAACGAGGAGAGCAAACAGAAACTGCTACCTATAATGTCCACATTGTTAGAGGAGCTCAATGCTACTGGAGCCTGCACCTTACCCATCGGTATGTGTGCATTTGCACTCAGCAATGTGTCAGACTCTTTTATTTTTCTCTCATACACCATTTGCTCCCTCCCTCTTATTTAGATGAGTCCAATACAATCAACCTGAAGCTGATTGAGCAGCGCAGGGACCCTCTAATCGTGCAGGAGTACGACGTCCCTGTCTTCACTCAGTGCAAGGACCACTTCATCAAATCCCAGTGGGATCTCACCACTCAACAGGTAGGCCTTCCACCACACCGACAGTGGCTCACACAGATAGACCCACGGCTCATCCATACCGGAAGCATACCTACAGTGTGGCTGACATCCCATCAAGGGTTTCAGAGAAACAATGATTTGTCTATACTTAGTGCAATGTCATCATGCACCTGTCTCAGATTAAAGCGCTGATGAAAATGATGTTAGAAATGTGTTGAATTCTGTTGTAGATCCTGGCCTACATTGATGGGTTCAGGCATATCCAGAAGATATCTGCAGAAGCGGATGTTGAACTTAATCTAGTCCGGATCGCCGTACAGAATTTACTGTGAGTACTTTGAAACTGGTAATATGATGCAACAGATAATGAAACATTTCCCTATGAAACCATGGAATAGATACTAAGAGAACATGCTTTATGATGCCACATTGCCCTATGAAACCATGGAATAGATTCTAAGAGAATATTCTTTATGATGTAACATTGCCCTATGAAACCATGGAATATATTCTAAGAGAACATTCTTTATGATGTAACATTGCCCTATGAAACCATGGAATATATTCTAAGAGAATATTCTTTATGATGCAACATTGCCCTATGAAACCATGGAATATATTCTAAGAGAACATTCTTTATGATGTAACATTGCCCTATGAAACCATGGAATATATTCTAAGAGAACATTCTTTATGATGTAACATTGCCCTATGAAACCATGGAATATATTCTAAGAGAACATTCTTTATGATGTAACATTGCCCTATGAAACCATGGAATATATTCTAAGAGAACATTCTTTATGATGTAACATTGTCCTATGAAACCATGGAATATATTCTAAGAGAACATTCTTTATGATGTAACATTGCCCTATGAAACCATGGAATAGATTCTAAGAGAACATTCTTTATGATGTAACATTGCCATATGAAACCATGGAATATATTCTAAGAGAACATTCTTTATGATGTAACATTGCCCTATGAGACCATGGAATATATTCTAAGAGAACATTCTTTATGATGCCACATTGCCCTATGAAACCATGGAATATATTCTAAGAGAACATTCTTTATGATGTAACATTGCCCTATGAAACCATGGAATATATTCTAAGAGAACATTCTTTATGATGTAACATTGCCCTATGAAACCATGGAATATATTCTAAGAGAACATTCTTTATGATGTAACATTGCCCTATGAAACCATGGAATATATTCTAAGAGAACATTCTTTATGATGTAACATTGCCCTATGAAACCATGGAATAGATTCTAAGAGAACATTCTTTATGATGTAACATTGCCCTATGAAACCATGGAATAGATTCTAAGAGAACATTCTTTATGATGTAACATTGCCCTATGAAACCATGGAATAGATTCTAAGAGAACATTATTTTTCACAGGTATTACGGTGTTGTAACCTTGGTATCAATATTTCAGGTAATGACACCCTCAGTAACAATACCTTCTTTACAAAATGTAATCTTCATCTGAAATGTGGTGTGTGTGTGTGTGTGTGTACAGTCCTGTTTACACACTGTATGTTGTATCTCTCCAGTACTCCAATGTGTACTGCACAACCCCTACAGTCCAGAGCCTGATAGATGACAGGTCCATTCAGGAGGAGTGTCTCAGCTATGTCACCAAGCAAGGTAAAAGTCAGTTTGGAAGGTTGTAGTCAGAAAGTTTGAATTTGTTACAGTCAGTGAATGATAAGTTCTGCGGTCTGTGTGTTTCAGGACAGAAGAGAGCCTGTTTAAGGGATGTGTTCCAGCTGTACTGCGGTCTGACTCCAGGCACCACCGTTCGAGATCTTTGCTCCCGCTACTCACAGCAGCTGCAGAGGGTGGATGAGAGGTGAGTCACCAATCCTCCATGTTGACTCATGATGTTTAAGTGGTTGGCATGGACCTCAAAGTGCATATCTATTTATTTATTTGTTTATTTGTCAGGGACCATATACAATATGCCATTGCACCAGATTTAGCTAGATAGCTAATCTTCATCTACGCTGAGAAGTCTAGAGAATAGTGTTGTTGTTGTTGATATCATGTGATGGTCAACAGGAGGCTGATCCAGTATGGACTGATGAAGGCTCTCATTCGCCGTCTGCAGAAGTATCCTGTTAAGGTGACCCGAGACGAGAGGAGCCGCCCACCACGCCTTTACACTGGTTGCCATAGTTATGACGAAATCTGCTGCAAGACGGGTAGGTTTCAAGGCGTTTATGATGGCCAGACACATTACTGGTTTTATAGTGATGACGAATGTGTCTAGGAAGATTAAACATTACAGAGGGCTGGATAAGTATTTTGAGAAATCATTCTATACTCTGTGATCCCTCACGGCAGCGCCCTTCCTGTCTTTGCAGGAATGAGCTACAAAGAGCTGGACGAGCGCTTGGACAATGACCCCAACATAATTGTGTGCTGGAAGTGATACCCTGGCTTAATCAGCAACCACACTGACTTTGATGCAGAGCAAGCCGTCTCTCTAACAAAGACAGACAGAGACACATGAGGTTCCCATTGTACTGAAACAGAGGCCTCCTGCTCGTCTCATCTGACCCACACAACAGCCTGATGTCCAGGAGAGACAATGTGGATCAACCCCGGCCAAAGATGCCTTAAACTGACTTCTTCCTATCACTATTGTTGTCTGTGGACTTCATCTGAAATGTTCTGGAAATTATCTGTGTATTCAAAGGCTGAGACATGTAGGAATTTCTATACTACTAGTATGTCACCAATGTCACCTGTTATCTTCCTCAGGTTTTCCATCCAGACTTTGAATCAATCATTGTGTAATAGTTTCATTCAGAACAATGAATGGAGGAATTCATAAAGACCACAAAAACAAGGAAAGTGGCAGGTAGCCTAGTGGTTAAGAGCATTGGGCCAGTAACCGAAAGGTCGCTAGTTCATACCCTCGTGCAGACTAGGTAAAACATCTGCCGATGTGCCCTTGAGCAAGGTACCTAACCCTAATTGCTCTTGTAAGTCGCTCTGGATAAGAGCGTCTGCTAAATGACTCAAATGTGCTTATTAATGTGCAAAAAATTATATTAATACCAACTCCAACTTGCAATAATAAAGATGCTGTGTCGATTTGAATGACCCACTGTCTGACTGTGTATCTTGCTCACTTCACCTACAGTGCCTTCAGAAAGTATTCATACCCTTTGACTTATTCCACATTTTGTTGTATTACAGTCTGAATTCATAATGGATTGAATTGATTTTGTTTCTCACCCATCTACACACTGTCTGTGTTTTTCAAATACATTTGCTAACATTTCCCAAAACATGTTTTCACTCACATTATCCGGTAAGACTGCTCTTAACCCTGTAATGTGAGTGAAAACATGTTTTTGGAAATGTTAGCTAATTTATTGACATTGAAATGCAGAAATACAGTATCTCATTTACAGAAGTATTCACACCCCTGAGTCAATACATGTTAGAATCACCTTTGGCAGTGATTACAGCTGTGATTCTTTCTGGGTAAGTCTCTAAGACTGGATTGTACAATATTTGCACATTCTTTTTTAAATTCTTCAAGCTCTGTCAAGTTGGTTGTTGATCATTGCTAAACAGCCATTTTCAAGTCTTGCCATAGATTTTCAAGCCGATTTAAGTCAAAACTAACTAGGCCACTCAGGAACATTCAATGTCGTCTTGGTAAGCAACTCCTTGTGTTTTATGTTATTGTTCTGCGGAAAGGTGAATTTGTCTCCCAGTGTCTGTTGGAAAGCAGACAACCAGGTTTTCCTCTAGGATTTTGCCTGTGCTTAGCTCTATCCCGTTTCTTTTTATACTAAAAAACTCCCTAGTCCTTGCCGATGATAAGTATACTCATAACATTATGCAGCTACCACCATGCTTGAAAATATGAAGGGGGTACTCAGTGATGTGTTGTGATGGATTTGCCCCAAACGTAACACTTTGTATTCAAGACATAAAGTTAATTTCTTTGCCACATTCTTTGCAGTTTGACTTTTGTGCCTGTAATATGTTTTATTCTGTACAGGCTTCCTTCTTTTCACTCTGTCATTTAGGTTAGTATTGTGGAGTAACTACAATTTTGTTGATCCATCCTCAGTTTTCTCTTATCACAGCCATTAAACTCTGTAACTGTTTTAATGTCACCTTTGGCCCCATGGTAAAATCCCTAAGCAGTTTCTTTCCTCTCTGGCAACTGAGTTAGGAAGAAAGCCTGTATCTTTGTAGTGACTGGGTGTATTGATACACCATCCAAAGTGTAATTAATGACCTCGACAACTTATTGTTAAAACGAGAGGCTGCCTGGATCTTTAATTTAAAGACCCTTCCTCCCTTCGGTCTCAACGTAGACTTTGATTTGAAGCCATTCTTGTGATTATTGTGATTTTGCTATTCATTGTAAATGTTTGTGGGCCTATGTAGCCAAGTTGTATATATGATCATATGCTATCCATGTTTTTTGTATGTTCTATTTATCTGTGAATTAACCAATGCTGTTAGGCTACACCCAGCCATGATTATAGACACATGTGTGTGTCCTTTGACACTATATAAACTAGTGACCCGCAGTGTTTGTCATTATACCCTGATGAAGACAGCTTGTCTGTTGAAACGTTAGTTATTAGGATATTAATATTGTAGTCTGAGGTTGTCTTTGAAACGTTAGTTATTGGATATTAATTATTGTATCTGAGCTCCTAGAGTGTGCGGCTTTCCTTTTCTTTTTCAAGTGTTTTACTCCGTTAGCCAGCACCTCGCCTAAATAGGTGTGCGTTTCTTTCGCCTCTATAATTAATAACTTCACCATGTTCAAAGGGATATTCAATGTCAGCTTTTTTATTTATTTATTACCCATCTACCAATAAGTGCCCTTCTTTGCAAGGCATTGGACAACCTCCCTGGTCTTTGTGGTTGAATCTGTGTTTGAAATTCACTGCTCGACTGAGGGACCTTACAGATAATTAAATTGTATGTGTGGGGTACAGCTGAGGTAGTCATTCAAAAAATCATTTTAAACACTATTATTGCACACATAGTCCATGCAACTTATTATGTGACTTCTTAAGCACATTTTTACTCCTGAACTTATTTAGGCTTGCCAAAACAAAGGGGTTGAATACTTATTGACTCAAGACATTTCAGCATTTCATTTTTTATTAATTTGTAAACATTTCGAAAAACATCATTTCACTTTTACATTATAGGGTATTGTGTTTAGGCCAGTGACAAACATTTAAATTCAAACTAACACAACAAAATGTGGAAAAGGTCGAGGGGTGTGAATACTTTCTGAATGCACTGGAGGATTACCACAGGGGTCTTTGTACCCAGTGATGCCAATTTAGCAATTTTGTTGCTAGATTTAGCAACTTTTCAGACTACCCTGGCAACTTTCTTTTCAAACAGCACCTAGCAACAGATTTAGCTACTTTTAAAAATGTATTTGGAACTTTTAGCAACTTTTGAAAAGTGACTTAAAACGCTACAATGCACGCATTTTCCCTCTAAATGACACTAAAACGATTTTCTCCGTCACACACTCATTCACAACACATGTACCTGGCTGCAAAAGTCCGTTGTGAGTGATGTCAGCAGCAGGCGCTCAGCTCGTGCACCAGCAGGCCAGCCAAGCAGCACAACAACCTAGAGAGCTGGAGAGAGATGACTAGCGCACACATCATTATTTCAGTTAAGTTGCTTGTTCAATAAGATATTACATTTACATTTAAGTCATTTAGCAGACGCTCTTATCCAGAGCGACTTACAGTTAGTGAGTGCATACATTATTTTTTATACTGTCCCCCCGTGGGAATCGAACCCACAACCCTGGCGTTGCAAACACCATGCTCTACCAACTGAGCTACATCCCTGCCGGCCATTCCCTCCCCTACCCTGGACGACGCTGGGCCAATTGTGCGCCACCCCATGGGTCTCCCGGTCACGGCAGAGCCTGGATTCGAACCAGGATCTTTAGTGGCACAGCTAGCACTGCAATGCAGTGCCTTAGATCACTGTGCCACTCGGGAGGAGATATCATATATACCTTGTTATTAGCTTGTACCTATAATTGTTGATCAGTTAGGTAGCATGTTAACTAACTACCAATACACTGCTTAAAACTATAATTGTTCAGAATGTGTAGGTTTACTAGTTAATAAGACAATAAATAAAATGTAATTGTTCAATAATGTGTAATGTGTAATTGTTCAATAATTAAATGTGTTGTGTTTTAAAAAAATATATCTGATCTTATAAAATGTGTTGTGTTTATATTACTTTACAAATAAAAATATGTGATAATAAACAAACAAATCTAAACTAACAAATGTCAAATCATATTTGTCGCCGAGATGGCCAGTCAATTTCAGTAACGTTAATGCGTATTCTACGTAATGACGCAGTTTTACATTATTACACATTGACGTCATCACGCAATGACGTTTAGCAACTTTTAGCAACAAATTGACCTGCCTCTAGCAACTTCCCCTGAAAATTAGTTGGCAACACTCTGTGCCGTAGATCATGCTGCCTATAATGCTCATGCGTGTGTATCCAGTAACCATGCCAACCGCGGGTAACATTTACATTTTTAGTCATTTAGCAGACGCTCTTATCCAGAGCGACTTACAGTTAGTGAGTGCATACATTATTATTATTTATTTTTTTTTCATACTGGCCCCCCGTGGGAATCGAACCCACAACCCTGGCGTTGCAAACGCCATACTCTACCAACTGAGCTACATCCCTGCCGGCCATTCCCTCCCCTACCCTGGGCCAATTGTGCGCCGTCGCATGGGTCTCCCGGTCGCGGCCGGCTACGACAGAGCCTGGATTCGAACCAGGATCTCTAGTGGCACAGCTAGCACTGCGATGCAGTGCCTTAGACCACTGCGCCACTCTGTAACAGTTTGTAAAGTGAGTGAGCACCTCAAACTGTGCCTCAGTCTCCACAGTTTCTCTCAACTCAGTGTTTTTTTGGTACAAACATTGATTGTCGTGGATATGGAAACCTCTGTTATTTTTCCTGGAGAGGCTGAAGCATATGTCCAAAATCTGGAAACATTCTCACTCAGGAACATTGGCCCTCCAAGGTATGTCTGTCTAGGAGCTTACGTTAGCTAGCTAACTTACTGTAGCTAGGTAGCTAACCATGGTAACAAATATCCTCTGAGCTAGCCAAAAGTTGCAAGCTAGCTCGCGCTACAGCAGATTCGTGGCTGCAGTGTTCCATTCGTTGCTTCTTATTTGATTGACAGGTGGTTCAGACAACATGACTACATAGAGCAGGGTTCTTCAATTCCGGTCCTGGAGGGCCGAAACACTTCTGTTTTTTATTTCTGCCTGGTAGTTAATTGCACTCACCTGGTGTCCCAGGTCTGAATTAGCCCCTGATTAGAAGGAGAGGATGAAAAACAGAGGTGTTTCGGCCCTCCAGGACCGGAATTGAAGAACCCTGACATAGAGAAACTCAACATGCAGGCGATAATGAACGCTTCAGCCACTCAGGAAGAGTTTATCAAGGAGCTCCTTGTGTCACTGGGAAAGTTAATAACAGTGTCTTATGACGTATCTGTGAAGTCACCTGTATAGGTATGTTACTGTTACATGCTCCGTTTTTTTGTAGACCAAAAAGATACAGGGCAGGCTACTGCACATGTAAACAGGTCATTCATTGTCCGTTTTCTTCACCCTAGATCCCCACCCTGGTCCATGAGATGATTCTGGTGGAGCTTTGGAAACAGAAGGTGTTTCCTGTTCTCTGTCAGCTCCAGGACTTCAACCCGAAGAGCACCTTTCCTCTGTACATGGTGATGAGTGCATAATTGGCAACAATGTTACATTTCAACTGGTGATATACTGCAGTGCTTGTTGTACCTGTACTCCCTAGAAGTTTCCATCTAATCTCCGCCTCTCATCTGCAGATTCACCATGAGGCTACAATCATAAACCTGCTTGAGACAATTATGTTTCACAAGGTGAGAACGTATTTGTACCCTTGCCTCAGTACCAGCACCATTAATCTGTTTGCAGTGTCTGTCTCAGACATCACATAGGCTACAGTTTGTCCTAAATACAGTCAACGGCGTAACCAGGGTTTGAGTTAGTGAGGTCCAGAAGGACATTTCTTAAAAGTTTAAGCTAATTTACTGCATTTCTATACAATTAAAACACTTTTTAAAATACTATTTGGAGAACAGCAAAAACAAGCAAAAATGCCCCAACCATTATCACCTCAGTCGATCTACAAACACATAGCCTATTAGCTATACAATTGTAATGTTATACCCCTGAAAGGGGGGAAATATGAGAAATGATTCACACTGACACGTAGCATCAGCGACTGTTCAGTAAGTCGTAATGATGAATGGCATAAAATCATCAACTCTTTACATATATTTATTTTCTCAAATTACATAGCATTCAAATTTGTATTCCTAGGGCATCACTAATCAAGCTCCGCACAAACAGATATCAATTGAGCACACAAATGATCGTATTATCACATGAATTATTAGAATGTTACTTACGATTCTGTATTAATATAAGTGATGTAATGGTTAAAAAAAAGTGGGCAATGGGTAAACTATAAACTCCAGTGGGCGATCGAGATAAGACGAACAACCACCTATTTAAACAAAAACGTATACAAATATTTTTAACTGTATTGTTTGCATTTTGATTGCATTTTAATGTAGGCCTATAGGGAAGATGTTCATATTGAAACATTTTTTTTTTACTAACTTGTTTGCTAAGATTAATACAGATTTTCTCAGGGGACCCGACCCAAGTTTGGAACCACGTACTACTCTCTCATTCAGCGCCCTTCATTGCAGCCTGGCACCACTGTACTAACCCTCTCCTGCCTTGCTGCTCTGCATGCATGGCCTGCACCTCACCACTGTACTAACTTCTTCTGTCTCTCTGCTGCTCCGCAGCTGCGCTGCAGCTCACCTGTACTAACCTCTCTCTGTCTCGCTTGCTCATCATGCATTGCAGCCTGCCCGCCTCACACTGAGGGTCACATCACTGTCTGTCTCAGTAGCCTACTCTCTGTAAAGAAAAGTTATTATCAGAATTTAGTAGCCTATTTTTTGCTTCTGCTGAGGTAGGCTCCGTTTAACGTTGGTCAGTGCTATCCGGAATCCTTGGGACATCCCTACCATAAACCTTTACCCCTAACCTAACCATAACTCTTACCTTAACCATTTAAAATGTCAACTTCAATGGGGCGGGGACATCCTAAGGATCTCGGATAGCAAGGACTGTTTAACTTTAGCTTCTTACTTCATCCTTCTAGCTTGCTAAGTAATACCTGCCAGAGCCCTTCAACGTTACTGCAAGCTAGCCACCTGACTGACTGACATATCTATAAGCGACTATTTACCAGTTGTGCAGTCATTCTCAGAGAGTCGGTTTTTGTTTGTTTGGGGATGTCTGTAGACACGGCAGGAGTCACAGGACAGTTTTAAAATAACCTTTTGTCCGGTATCTCGCAAACACACTGTCAGCAGTGTCTCTAGTTGCCAACAGCGAGCTGGGGTAGTTTGTTTTACGTCTCAGGCCCTCAGCCTGTGCCGTGAGAGGGCGGAGTTAGCCGTTTGAGAGAGTGGTGAATGTGCTGTTTAAAAGGCTAATCTGGGGGACGCAGGCGAACATAACGAACAAACCGCTGTTCATGATTCCACTGGTTTGCAAAGAGGAAGGCACGATTCGAACTCAGTCAGATCAATAATATAAGCCGTTCTGAGCTTTGATCAACGCTGGGAGCAATATTAAGATGCTGACCCGTAATTGATTTTGTTTATTGTGTACAAAATCTTTTAAATGTTTTTATTAGAAACATTTACCGAGGTCCGGTCTGTCCTCATATAGTTAGGGCCTGAATACAGTTTTTGACTATGTGTGTTGGTTACAGGACTCCTGTGAGGCAGCAGACGACTCAGTCCTGGACATGGTGGACTACTGCCACCGCAAACCTACCCTCCCGGCCAGCAGAGCATCCAGGGATGACACTCCAACCCAGGGCAGACTCAGTCACACAGAGAGTGGGGACTCATCCTCTGTACAGGTACAGGATGGATTCCTCTTTACAGGAGCTGTCTGGGTTCCAGTTACTACAACATAGGCAGGCCATTGCAAGTCAGGATAGTGTAGTTGCTTTGGTCGGTGGTGTGGATTGTAAATGTTCTGTTGTGCTGTGTGTCTGATGCAGGATTTGCAGGGGCAGAATGCGGCACTAGAGTTTGAAATTTCCCTCAAGGCTCTGTCTGTCCTGCGTTACATCACTGATCATACTGACAGGTGGGAGAGTCACATGTAAGATCTTAATTTGGTCACCCTGTTGCAGGATAACTTTCTTGCAATGCGGGAAATGTAAAACTTGTAGTGTATTTGAGGTTTAAAAAAGCTTCTGAACTCCTACAAAAATTTCATGAATTCTAATCCACAAAATAATTCACATTTCCTGTTGTAGCAAACTGGCTCAAATTAAGATCTTACATCTGTATCATTTTTCAGATACTTTACATACTATCAGAATAGAAGAGTGATACTGTTAGATACTTTTTTTCCAGTTGTCGTGGTGAAAAGGCTTGTTTGTGCTTTCTCTCACACTCAGTATAGTGTATAAGAGTGTGCACCAACTCACTGTGTGTGTCAGCTGTGAGACCCCTGGAGTCGTACCTGCTGTGCAGTGAGAACCTCATACAACTGACCCTGTGTTTGTCAAAAACAACAGTACAAATGAGCTGGAGAAGCATCGGGCCAATTATATAACCTGCAAGAGATCCTGGGTAAAATGAGCAATAACTATTGAGGGTTGGGCGGCTAATTTCAGATGGGCGGTGTACAGGTGCAGTGATCGGTAAGGTGCTCTGACAACTGATGCTAAAGTTTAGTGAGGAGATAAGTGTCTCCAGCTTCAGAGATTTTGCAATTTGTTCCAGTCATTGGCAGCAGAGAACTGGAAGGAATTGCGGCCAAAGGAGGTGTTGGCTTTGGGGATGACCAGTGAGATATACCTGCTGGAGCGCAGACTACAAGTATTCTTGCAAATTGACAAATCATACAATTTCCACATACCCCCATCTACATACATTATATACAACATATGCCATTTAGCAGTCACTTTTGTCCAAAGCGAGTTACAGTCATACATGCATACTTTTTTTTATATATGGCTGGTTGTGGAAATCGAACCCACTATCCTGGCGTCGCAAGCGCCAAGCTCTACCAACTGAGCTACAGAGGACCATCTATGGGATAATACAATTATCCTGCAACGTGGTCCTCTGTAGCTCAGCTGGTAGAGCACGGCGCTTGTAACGCCATAATAACATTATGTCAAAACAATGGGTGTCTTTTTACCTACAATGCCTTCAGAAAGTATTCATACCCCTTGACTTATCCACATTTTGTTGTGTTACAGCCAGAATAATACAAAAAAGAACATCTCATCCATCTACACAGAATGCCTCATTTTGACAAAGTGAAAACATGTTTTAAGCAAATTTATTGAAAATGAAATACAGAAATATCTCATTTACATAATTATTTACAGTGAGGGGGAAAAAGTATTTGATCCCCTGCTGATTTTGTGCGTTTGCCCACTGACAAAGAAATTATCAGTCTATAATTTTAATGGTAGGTTTATTTGAACAGTGAGAGACAGAATAACATTAAAAAAAATCCAGAAAAACGCATGTCAAAAATGTTATAAATTGATTTGCATTTTAATGAGGGAAATAAGTATTTGACCCCCTCTCAATCAGAAAGATTTCTGGCTCCCAGGTGTCTTTTATACAGGTAACGAGCTGAGATTAGGAGCACACTCTTAAAGGGAGTGCTCCTAATCTCAGCTTGTTACCTGTATAAAAGACACCTGTCCACAGAAGCAATCAATCAATCAGATTCCAAACTCTCCACCATGGCCAAGACCAAAGAGCTCTCCAAGGATGTCAGGGACAAGAATGTAGACCTACACAAGGCTGGAATGGGCTACAAGACCATCGCCAAGCAGCTTGGTGAGAAGGTGACAACAGTTGGTACGATTATTCGCAAATGGAAGAAACACAAAACAACTGTCAATATCCCTCGGCCTGGGGCTCCATGCAAGATCTCACCTCGTGGAGTTGCAATGATCATGAGAACGGTGAGGAATCAGCGCAGAACTACACGGGAGGATCTTGTCAATGATCTCATGGCAGCTGGGACCATAGTCACCAAGAAAACAATTGGTAACACACTACGTCGTGAAGGACTGAAATCCTGCAGCGCCCGCAAGGTCCCCCTGCTCAAGAAAGCACATATACAGGGCCGTCTGAAGTTTGCCAATGAACATCTGAATGATTTAGAGGAGAACTGGGTGAAAGTGTTGTGGTCAGTTGAGACCAAAATGGAGCTCTTTGGCATCAACTCAACTCGCCGTGTTTGGAGGAGGAGGAATGCTGCCGATGACCCCAAGAACACCATCCCCACTGTCAAACATGGAGGTGGAAACATTATGCTTTGGGGGTGTTTTTCTGCTAAGGGGACAGGACAACTTCACCGCATCAAAGGGACGATGGACGGGGACATGTACCGTCAAATCTTGGGTGAGAACCTCCTTCCCTCAGCCAGGGCATTGAAAATGGGTCGTGGATGGGTATTCCAGCATGACAATGACCCAAAACACACGGCCAAGGCAACAAAGGAGTGGCTCAAGAAGAAGCACCTTAAGGTCCTGGAGTGACCTAGCCAGTCTCCAGACCTTAATCCCATAGAAAATCTGTGGAGGGAGCTGAAGGTTCGAGTTGCCAAACGTCAGCCTCGAAACCTTAATGACTTGGAAAAGATCTGCAAAGAGGAGTGGAACAAAATCCCTCCTGAGATGTGTGCAAACCTGGTGGCCAACTACAAGAAACATCTGACCTCTGTGATTGTCAACAAGGGTTTTGCCACCAAGTACTAAGTCATGTTTTGCAGAGGGGTCAAATACTTATTTCCCTCATTAAAATGCAAATCAATTGATAACATTTTTGACATGTGTTTTTCTGGATTTTTGTTGTTGTTATTCTGTCTCTCACTGTTCAAATAAACCTACCATTAAAATTATAGACTGATCATGTCTTTGTCAGTGGGCAAACGTACAAAATCAGCAGGGGATCAAATACTTTTTTCCCTCACTGTACATTTACATTTTAGTCATTTAGCTGACGCTCAGGAGCAATTAGGGTTAAATGCCTTGCTCAAGGGCACATCGGCAGATTTTTCACCTAGTCGACTCGGGGATTAGAACCAGCGACCTTTCGGTTACTGGCACAACGCTCTTAACCACTAAGTTACTCCCCTGAGTCAATACTTTGTAGAAGCACCTTTGGCAGCGATGACAACTGTGGGTCTTTCTGGGTAAGTTTATAAGCTTTCCACACCTGGATTGTGTAACAGTTGCCCATTATTATTTTCAAAATTCTTCAAGCTCTGTCAAATTGATTGTTGATCATTGCTAGATAATTATTTTCAGGTCTTGCCATAGATTTTCAAGTACATTGTCTTCAGAAAGTATTCAAACCCCTTGACTTTCAATTAGATTTAAGTCAAAACTGTAACTCGGCTACTCAGGAACATTCACTGTCTTCTTGGTAAGCAACTCCAGTGGCCTTGTGTTTTAGGTTATTGTCCTGCTGAATGGTGAATTCATCTCCCAGTGTCTGGTGGAAAGCAGACTGAACCAGGTTTTCCTCTAGGATTTTACAAGAAGCCACCACTATGCTTGAAAATATGGAGAGCGGTACTCAGTAATGTGTTGTATTGGATTTGCCCCACACATAACACTTTGTATTCAGGACAAAAAGTTAACTGCTTTGCCACATTTTTGCTGTATTACTTTAATGCCTTGTTGCAAACAGGATGCATGTTTTGGAATATTTGTATTCTGTACAGGCTTCCTTCTTTTCACTTTGTCAATTAGGTTAGTATTGTGGAGTAACTTCAATGTTGTTGATCCATCCTCAGTTTTCTCCTATCACAGCCATTAAACTTTGTAACGGTTTTAAAGTCACTATTGGCCTCATGGTGAAATCCCTGAGCGGTTTCCCTCCTCTCTGGCAACTGAGTTAGGAAGGACGCCTGTATCTTTGTAGTGACTGGGTGTATTGATACACCATCCAAAGTGTAATTAATAACTTCACCATGCTCAAAGGAAAATTCAATGTCTGCTTTTTTTATTTGACCAATCTATCAATAGGTGCCCTTCTTTGCGAGGCATTGGAAAACCTCCCTGGTCTTTGTGGTTGAATCTGTTCACTGCTCGACTGAGGGACCTTACAGATAATTGTATCTGTGGGGTACAGAGATGAGGTAGTAATTCAAAAATCATGTTAAACACTATTATTCAGTCCATGCAACTTATTATGTGACTTGTTAAGCAAATTTTTACTCCTGAACTTATTTAGGCTAGCCATAACAAAGGGGTTGAATACTTATTGACTAAAGATATTTCATCTTTTCATTTTGTATTAATTTGTAAAAATGTTGAAAAACATAATTCCACTTTGACATAATGGGGTATTATGTGTAGGCCAGTGACAAAAAACCCTCAATTTATTCCATTTAAAATACAAAATGTGGAAAAAGTCAATGGGTGTGCATACTTTGTGAAGGGATCATCAACTAGCGGATGTTCAGGGGGCCGGAACATAATGACAAATAATTTGTAGACTGCAAATTGACGGCAAGAAGCCCAAACAGATATAATATTTGACAAAAACATGCGTGGGAATACTTGGGAACAGATTTCCAAAATTAAAATGACTTAGAGCTGATTTCCTGGTGTTTTTACAGTCTTTTATGTTCAACAATGAAAAATCGAAATAGTTTTTTTTCTCCATTTTTTTACTTGGGAGCGTGGGGGGGGCAAATAAAACCATTTGGGCCATGGGCCGCCAGTTGGGGAACCCTGGCCTGGTTGTTACAGTGTAGAAGACCCACATATCACTACCTGTCCTTTGTCTCCCTCTACAGGAGAGATAGAGAAGTACATGAATGGAAAGTGGCAAAAGGTTCCATCTGAATGAAGACTGTCTGAAGATGACTAATTGGGGTCTGGATTGCTCTGTACAACCTGGTGCTAAAGGAAGACTGCCAAAGGAAATATGACTTCAACAACTTCAACAAGAACCATCTCTTAAAGGTACAGTAGCCTCAGCCAGTACTGGCGCTTCTGACAAGAGTGGCCTCTGAACCCTAACTGTCAAAACTATAGCTCAGGAAGAATGTCTGTGCATTGTCCTTCAAAATCTTTTCTTATCTCCCCTCCAATTAGAAGACAGATGAAGTATCCAGTTACTGTTTTGACTGGTGTTTTCTCTTACTATTATTTCCATGATTGACTCTCCTTCCTGAACGTACGTGAGGATAGAATTATGAGCTCTGGGAACTTTGCAGGATGCATAGGTGGTCTATCAGACAGACCACAATGCAGACCGCAGTACAATAAAAGTCTAACTCAAACTGAAACTTAAACCATGAAATGTCTGAAAATCACCCTATATATTTTGTGTGTAGCTACGAGGTTTCCTGACGGAAGTGTTAATTGACCAGCTGCCCAACCTGGTGGAGCTCCAGCGCTTCCTCAGTCACCTCATTGTCACAGACCCTGCCCCTCCAAAGAAAGACCTCATCTTGGAACAGGTGAGGAACACACACAGGAACATGCACACGCGCGCCAGGGTTTCCGTTAGCCGGCTTTTGCCGATAAAATAAATGAAAAGCCGGTAAATGAAATTGTAGCCGTGGGTGGGGGCTGCATATTATACATCACGATTTCACACTTCAGCACCATTCTCTCACTCCTTGTGCGCTGCCTTACGTGCATGCGCCTGCTGCTGAGGAGAGAGAGCGAGAGAGGAGCGAGAGTAAAACAAAAGTTAGAGAGTATGCCTATAGTGAAAAGCCTAGAAGGGGAATGTCCTCCTGTATAGACAACTTTTAATATTGTAGTGGACAAAGATGAGAAGAACGTTGGCACGGCCAAATGCAGGCTACTGTGCAACTTTTTAGTTGTCGTGTGTATTTATAATAATTTGTATTATCATTATTATTACTGTATATCGGTGGTCACCAACCTTTTTTGAGTCGAGATCGCTTTCTGAGTCAAAATGCAAGCCGAGATCTACCGTTCAGATTTGATTTCAACATTACTTAAAAAACGTAAGCCCATGCAACATTAACCTATTAAAACAGTACTGTAGTAATGAGGTTTGTGCAGTAGGCTATAGGGCAAAAAAACATAAGCACCGCATATTGGCTTTGCTTGAATTGCCCTGCCAATGCATTTTTGTTCTTCTCAGACCATTTAAAAAAAATTATATTTCAACATTTGAGGTAGGCTATATAATCACACTGGTAATAGATCCGTTGTTGTATTACTTGTGAAGCACAGCTGAAAGAGCATAATAATAATAATAATAATAATAATAATAATAATTAGCTTTTTTTATTTACTGGGGTGATGGAGCCTGCATCTGATGGTCAGTCTCGGTGGAGGGAGAGGGCAGCAGACTGAGGGTCCACCTCTCAACGCCACACTCCCTTTCCTCCGCTGACACAGACCAAAAAGGGACCGTCTTTCAGCTAATGGCAAACTCGAATCGCATCGCGATCGACCGTTTGGTGACCACTGCTGTACATCATTGTTATTATTGTAGGCCTATTTATTAATCTAAACCAGTTTTAAATATGCAAAATGTGTTTCGTTTTATTCTGTTGATACATTTCCGTTGGCTAAATTAAGTTTGATCTGTCTTTTTATATGTGAGCTCCGTATTTAGTTTAAGATAGGTTATAAGTAGGCCTGTTGTAAAATAAATACACTGCTCAAAAAAATTAAGGGAACACTAAAATAACACATCCTAGATCTGAATGAATGAAATAATCTTATTAAATACTTTTTTCTTTACATAGTTGAATGTGCTGACAACAAAATGACACAAAAATTATCAATGGAAATCAAAAGTTATCAACCCATGGAGGTCTGGATTTGGAGTCACCCTCAAAATTAAAGTAGAAAACCACACTACAGGCTGATCCAACTTTGATGTAATGTCCTTAAAACAAGTCAAAATGAGGCTCAGTAGTGTGTGTGGCCTCCACGTGCCTGTATGACCTCCCTACAACGCCTGGGCATGCTCCTGATGAGGTGGCGGATGGTCTCCTGAGGGATCTCCTCCCAGACCTGGACTAAAGCATCTGCCAACTCCTGGACAGTCTGTGGTGCAACGTGGCGTTGGTGGATGGAGCGAGACATGATGTCCCAGATGTGCTCAATTGGATTCAGGTCTGGGGAATGGGCGGTCCATAGCATCAATGCCTTCCTCTTGCAGGAACTGCTGACACACTCCAGCCACATGAGGTCTAGCATTGTCTTGCATTAGGAGGAACCCAGGGCCAACCGCACCAGCATATGGTCTCACAAGGGGTCTGAGGATCTCATCTCGGTACCTAATGGCAGTCAGGCTACCTCTGGCGAGCACATGGAGGGCTGTGCGGCCCCCCAAAGAAATGCCACCCCACACCATGACTGACCCACCGCCAAACCGGTCATGCTGGAAGATGTTGCAGGCAGCAGAACGTTCTCCACGGCGTCTCCAGACTCTGTCACGTCTGTCACGTGCTCAGTGTGAACCTGCTTTCATCTGTGAAGAGCACAGGGCACCAGTGGCGAATTTGCCAATCTTGGTGTTCTCTGGCAAATGCCAAACGTCCTGCACGGTATTGGGCTGTAAGCACAACCCCCACCTGTGGACGTCGGGCCCTCATACCACCCTCATGGAGTCTGTTTCTGACCGTTTGAACAGACACATGCACATTTGTGGCCTGCTGGAGGTCATTTTGCAGGGCTCTGGCGGTGCTCCTCCTTGCACAAAGGCGGAGGTAGCAGTCCTGCTGCTGGGTTGTTGCCCTCCTACGGCCTCCTCCATGTCTCCTGATGTACTGGCCTGTCTCCTGGTAGCACCTCCATGCTCTGGACACTACGCTGACAGACACAGCAAACCTTCTTGCCACAGCTCGCATTTATGTGCCATCCTGGATGAGCTGCACTACCTGAGCCACTTGTGTGGGTTGTAGACTCAGTCTCATGCTACCACTAGAGTGAAAGCACCGCCAGCATTCAAAAGTGACCAAAACATCAGCCAGGAAGCATCGGAACTGAGAAGTGGTCTGTGGTCACCACATGCAAAACCAGTCCTTTATTGAGGGTGTCTTGCTAATTGCCTATAATTTCCACCTGTTGTCTATTCCATTTGCACAACAGCATGTGCAATTTATTGTCAATCAGTGTTGCTTCCTAAGTGGACAGTTTGATTTCACAGAAGTGTGATTGACTTGGAGTTACATTGTGTTGTTTAAGTGTTCCCTTAATTTTTTTGAGCAGTGTATAATTAGCCTATTGCTGTAATTTGTTGGGTATGGTAGGTACTAGCCTTTCTTGGTAATTTCTGCAATATAGCCTGTTCAAAACTTTTGTAAGGGTTTAAACCACCTCGCAAGTGTTTTGTTTCATTCTGTTGAGCCATTTTCTTTGGCCAAATTAAAGGTAGACTTCTGCATGTGCACGGGTTTGCTTCACGCTGTGAATAGTGTGTTAGCCATGGGACCAAAATCGAAGTAGTTGAGCTTCACGCTCATGGACGTAACTTTGTGCTGAATATTGGGGGGGGGGGGGGGTCAGGGTAAATGGGTTCCGGGGTCAACACCCATGAGATATTTTTTTTTTAAGGAATAGCTGTGAAATCCAAAACTTTACTGATAATTTGGTCAATATATCCCAACCACAACTGAAATACCAATAATTTCTGTATTACTTTAAACTGTTGGTCTAACTTTAACAGCTCAGAAAATAACCACACTTGGTAATTTGTTTGTAGCACGACTGTGAAAAAGTCAGTTCTGGGGTGCGTTCAGTTTGATTGAACGTTTGCTACGTTGCGTAACGGCTTGTACTGAACAAACGTTTCCCCAATACTTTCTTCAACGTTCTTGAACAGACTTTGAGATAGCCTACGTTTGGTGGGTGTGGCCCTCCCCGTTTTTCAACAGGTCGTTCAGAACAGCATCGTTTCTGTTTAATTGAACATTGCATTACATTTTTCTTTTCGTACTGAACGCAGCCCTGGTGACTTTTCTACTCCAAAATTAATGAAAATAGAATTATGGTGACCCCATTAAAATATAATTTACCCCTCCAAAAATGTGCCTAACAACATATTGGTCCATATTATCAGGCTGGTGTGTTATTCAGCAATAAGCATTATCGGTCACACTTTATTTGTATAGTCATACTATAAACAAACGATCTGTTGATAAGCAACTGCTTGCTAAGTTTAGGGTTAGGTTTAGAGTAAGGGTTAAGGTTAGGGCGAGTGTAAAGGTTAAGTTTAGGGTTTGGATACGGGTTAAGGTTAGGGTTAGGGTTAGTAGTGTTGGGGAAGCTACTCTGAGAATATAGTTTACCAAGCTACCAATTACTTCACACTGGAAGAAGTTAAGTTACACTAAAGTAGTTCACTACATCCAAACTACTTTGTGATAAATTATCATATCTAAATCTGAAATGTCATAGACTACAAATTGCAAGAACAGATCACTCTGGAGTAAGATCTTAACAGAATGTGTAATTTAGCATATTAAACACAAAAACTGTTTCAAGTGAGAATTAGAAAGGGGTGTGTAGTTCCAATGGTGAGCTACACCGCTTCATGGCAAAAAAAAAAGTATTCAGTCCAGAAAACACTACCTACATTTGAATTTAGTTCAACTACCACCAAGCTACTGCAAACTGTAGTTACTAGTTGAACTACATGTAGTTCACTACTCCCCAACACTGGTTAGTTGAAATGTTACTGATAGTCTGTAGATCATCTACAGATGGACTATCCAAATGAAGTGTTAGTGCATTATCACCTGTAGCCCAACTGGCTATAAATAAATAGTCTGAATCATGCCCATTTTTATTTGTGCTAATCATTAGCTAGATCAGTGCTTCCCAAACATTTTCAGTCATGCCCCCCTTTCATCATGCTACTATGTTAGGGATGGATCGAAATGTACAGAATGGTTACCTGGAGGAAATGGGGGAGGGTCATAATTTTACAATTTCAGTCAAGGGCAGGGTTTAGTATTTTTTAAATCTAGGGTAATTTAATTAGTAATTGATGAAATTTCAATATTTCTCTGTTTTAGAATGAGTAGCTTATTAGGCTATACAGTGCATTCGGAAAGTATTCAGACCCCTTCCCTTTTTCCAAATTTTCCACTCATTCTAAAATTGATTGAACTGTTTTTTTTCTCTCGTCAATCTACACACAATACCCCATAATGACAAAGCAAAAACAGGTTTTTACATTTACATAAGTATTCAGACCCTTTACTCAGTAATTTGTTGAAGCACCTTGCAAGCGATTACAGCCTCAAGTCTTCTTGGGTATAACACTACAAGCTTGGCACACCTGTATTTGGGGAGTTTCTCCCATTCTTCTCTGCAGATCCTCTCAAGCTCTGTCAGGTTGGATGGGGAGTGTCGCTGCACATTTATTTTCAGGTCTCTCCAGAGATGTTCGATCGGGTTCAAGTTGGGCTCTGGCTTG